CACACACACGACACCTGCCATTCCAATGCCGCTGGCTACTTTGCCAGGCACTTTGCTAACTCTTTGAACCACTACTGGACCAGGTTCTCAGAAATTTAGATTAACTTTTTTATTATCCTTTTATTAATACAGCTCAGAAAAAAATAATGATGTTCTCCTAAAGTTACACAGCCTGAAAGCTGTGACCTGGAATTCAAAAAAAGCTCTACCTGATGTTACTATTCAAATTCTTCTTAAAACAGAGAAATTTGTGGTTTTAATTCTTTTTAATGATTTTCTCCTTCCTTCTCCTCCCTCCAACCACTCCTATGTCCCTCTGCCCCTCTCTTTTTTATTGTTTTACAGATATGAATGAATATATCAATGCCACCTGCCAGTCCATTTAGTATTGCATATATATATATATGGTTTTTTTTACATTGTCTTGGCAAGAGAATTTGTGGCTGATTCTTAATACGACAGAGAAATGGATTGGTAGATAACTGAAAAAGTTATCAGAGATGAGTGGCCATGTTCTTCACTCTGTAGGTATGAAGGTGGCCTTGTGGTGAGTGAGTGACTGTGGGCAACCTGCCCCTGAACAGTCTGAGACTTTGGCCTTCGGGGAAGTGTATCCTGGGTCAGGTCAGAGTAACATTCATTATTCCTAAGAGCACTGAGACAGGGCGAGGTAATCATGAAGCAAGAGGGGGTGAGGAGAAAGAGAGAGGTAGAACCACCCTGCTTCTCCTACCCATGCCAGCTCTTTGAAGATTCCCAGTAGGAGTCAATGCAGAATCCATGTCAGCTGTATTTTCTAGTCTAAGACAGCTTAATGCAATGGTTCTCAACCTGTGGCTCACAATCTCTTTGGGAGTCACATATCAAATATCCTGCATGTCAGATATTTACATTATGATTCATAACAGTAGAAAATTACACTATGAAATAGCAACTAAAGTAATTTTATAGTTGGGAGGGAGGTCAGAACAACATGGGGAATTATATTAAAGGGTTACAACATTAGGAAGGTTGAGAACCATTGTGTTATCGTCCTAAATCATTTCTTATGTTCTAGGACAACTGTGTATTTCAAAAATATGCAATTTGGAGTAAGTAGCATACTATCGAATACCACAGAACAAGGGAACCTGGTGTGGGAGAATTGTCTGTATTCTGTCAATCATATTTTAATAAAATGCTGATTGGCCAGGCAGGCAGTATAGGCAGGAAAGCCAGACAGGAAGTAGGGGTGGAGCAATGAGAACAGGAGAATTCTGGGAAGCAGGGAAGTTCCTCTGCCACTCCTGGGCAGACCACCGAAGAGGCAACATGTAAGCTGTCACATTGAGAAAGGTACTGAGCCCGTGTGGCTAACATAGATAAGAATAATGGGTTAAGATAGGTCATAAGAATTAATAAGTAGCCTGACCTAATGGGCCAATCAGTTTATAACCTTATGGAGTCTTGTGTGTGATTTTCTTTGGGGCCTGCCTGCTGTGGGGTACTGGGCGGGACAGATACCCCAACAAGCCGGCCCCCTCATGTTACAGGAACCCTTTCTTCAAGGACATATGAGCTTCAGCATCTTGAACTTGCATTTCAGGCTTTGCTTACTACTGGATAAGATTCCTACCCCAGTACTGATGGGTGGAACTGAATGCTGCTTTCTGCTGTGTCGAGAGAAGTTCTTGTAAGGAGTGTGTGCCCAACAAGGGCCCATACTCTCCTGTGAATAATGTCAACTAGCTACCAGAAACAGAGTTAAGGAGGAAGGGATGTTTTCTGCTTCTTAAGCCTGTGTGTGTGTGTGTGTGTGTGTGTGTGTGTGTATGCACGCACATGAGTGCCTGTGGACACCACAATGCCTGCTCTGGTGAAGGAGATTAAGGACTTGATCATTTTTGGAGTTCACATTTAAACAACATCATTTGAGCAAGGCATCAGCCCAGTAAAGTGGATAGGGTGTGATTTCCGGGTCCATTTCACACACTGGGGAGATGGCAGCTGGGATACAGTGACCCTGCTCGTCTTGTGGCTAGTCAGTGGCAGAGCTGGCCCCCGCACCCGGGCTTCATGCTTCTTCATCTGGATGCCTTGCTTCTGGCACGCAGTGCCTTCCCATCTGAAGGCCAACAGTTTTACTAAGAGATAAAGTCGGAGAAAGGAGTGTTAGGTTGGAATTCATAAATGACATCAATAGCCAACTGCCAGATTAGATAGTGAGGGAAGTGTTGGACTTTGAGATGATTGAGCAAAAGGCAAAGAGAAAACACAGACACAGTGGTAAACAGCACAGCATGACGGGGCCTGGCAGCAGAGCTTGATTGGCTCTGAGAATCAGTTTCTAGCTTTCCCTGGTAAGTCGATTTGGTTCCTTAGTAACTCTGAAGTTCTTTCCTAGCTGGTGTGTCTCTGCCACAACTGAACTGATGGGATTCGTTTCCTCAGATAAGAAAAACCTCCAATTGTCAATGAACAATTACTGCTTATTTCAGAGTATTAAAAACTCACCAGCACAGGTTTCAATAAGAAAATCCATCTAACAAAGACTAGAGGAGATATATTTCAATTCCAGACAAGGTTCTTCCAGCTGAACCACGCAGATGTAGCCACTTGTAGGGAAATTGTCCCTTCAGGGCTCAGTTTTAGTGTTCAGTGTCTAGGGAAGTGGGGTTTTGATTCTTAGACTAGAGATCCTTCAATTCACTGGTCCCAGATGGTTCAGCCCACACAGGCACTCTGGTCTTCTCAGAACGAACAGTTCTGATTGCTTAGCAATGAAGAATGTCAAAACATTGCCATGAAGAAATGGAAGGTAAAACCCTTTCCCTCTAATGCTGGTCCCTGAGCCTCCTTATGGTACTGTAAAGCTCTTACACCTTCCCGTTCTGAGCTTTAAAAAACAACCAAATGAGGGGAATGAGAGATGGCTTAGTGATTAAGAAGACCATTAGCTTCCCTTATAGAGGACCCAGATTTTGAACCCAGCACCCATAAGGTGGTTCATAATCTTCTGTAACTCCAATTCCAGGAGATCTGACACTTTCTTCTGGTCTCCATGAGTACTGCACATTTGGTGCACATACATATATGCAAGCAACACACACACATATACAAAATAAAAATAAGTGAACTGTAACCTCCAGTCCCCGGGACTCTGATGTGTTCTGGGAAACAGGCAGCACATGGCTCAGATACACATATGCAGGCAAGTACTCATACATATAAAATAAACCTGTTTTGATATGGTAAACTGAATAATATATGATCTTAAGTCAAAAAAGCTGAAACATTAAGAAAAGAACAGAAAGGAATTGAAATTAAGATGTTTAAATTTTGTTAGCAATTATTAGTTGCACAAAACAACAGGTTTCACTGTGACATATTTCTCCAGGGTGTTTGTTATATACTTTGATCATATTCATCCCCATAACATCCTCTTTTTACCCCTCCTCCAAGTCCCTTTCTCTTCATTCATAGTCTGCCTTCTATTTTTATGTAGTTTATGTATTTGCCTCTCCCTAGATTCCACATAGCAGAAAAAGTGTGCAAATGTATCCATCAAAGTCTAGCTTATTTTGGAAAGCAGGTCTTATCCTAGGTCCAGGAGATCAAGCCTGGGGCTTTTCACATACTAGCCACGCAAGACATTTAAAGATTATTTTTCTTATTTTATATGTCTTGTGTGTCTGTCTAACATTTGCATTGTTGCCCTTGGATACCAGAAGTGGGTATCAGAATCACTAGAGCTGGAATTACAGACAGTAGTTAGCCACCCTGCTTATATACTGAACCCCAAACCTGAATCTTCTGGAATAACAAAAAAAAAATATGCTCTTGCCTGCTGAGTCATCTCTCCACACACTCTTTATACACTTGGGTTGATGGCAACATTATCTATAACAGCCAAAGGTCAAAAAAACCCCAAAACACCAAGGATTCATTTACTGGTAAACGGAAGAATAAAATATGATATACTAATGCTGCAGAATATTACACAGCCTCAAGAGGAGAGGCAATGTGTGCCCGAAGCAAAGTATCTAGTGAGACAGGATGGAGTCTGGGAGCTACGGTGGGAATGAAACTTGAGTATGTTGTGCTAAGTGAAACACACCCAGCTATGACACACTATAGGATCCCGTCATATGAAATAGCTGCAAAAGTCTAACTTGTAACGTAGAAAACAGAATAGTGGTTGCCAGATTCTGGGAAGAAGGTGAAATGGAGAGTCATTTAAGAGACAGAGTTTCAGTTTTGTGCAAGTTATGGAAATTTGCTTCCTAACAATGATACTTAATGGCACTTAAAATGATTAAGATGGCAAACTTTATGTCATATGTAGTTTATCAACATATTGCCTTAGAAGTAAGGGGACCAAGGATTCTTGTATGACCTGACAGGAGAGTTGCAGCCAGCTTCCTGCAATTCTGCAAATAAATCATAAAAGAGCTTTCAAAACCTAGAGTGGTAATGACCATATCTCACCTGACAGGTATTCCAAAGATCACAAGGATTAAAATGTTAAGCTGGTTGCTCTAGACATTTTGAGATTTGGGTGAGTGATTCATGCTCATGTTAACACTTTTATTCAATAAATATGCATTAGGTACCTTGTGTATTCCGGACACAGCGCTAGATGCTGGGGGCAGTGGTGAAGCATCCCTGTCCCATGCCTTGTGGCATGGCTGAAACTATTGGCATCAAGTACTAATTGGCCATGCGTAAGGCTGCAGCATTCATAGCTTTCTTAGATCTCTGTCTTCATGTTACTTCACGGAGTCATTCATGGGCACTGCCATGACAACCCTTCCCCCACCATGATCATCATAACTGCCATCATTACTATCGCCACCCCCCACTCCCAACCCCCACCCCCACCCCAATGTGTTAGTACATTTTTGTATTCAGTTTGATTTGATTTGCAGCCTCAAACCTTCCCTACCTCTGAGGCTACGAGCTCCTTAAGATTAGATCGCCATTGCTCTTCCTGTGCTCACAAACACAGTATCCTCTCTCCAAACTGTCCACACAGCTAACGAAAGGCCAGATACAGAGTCTTAGGAAAGACGGTGTAAACTGTGCTGATAATGCTAATCCCAACTCTTCGGCTAAAACAATGACAGCCTTGAACCATCCGAGCCTCAAAAGCAGACAGCGGAACAATAAGAAAATATCTGTCACATGTTCGAAATGACATGTTTAAAAGTCCGTTCCTGATTCCTCCAGTCGCCCCATGTGGGCAACTTTCCTTTTCCCTGAGTCTTTTCTCCTCAGCATCACTAAGACTGCAGTGGTCCATGCTTACGGCTGCTGGTTTCCGTGTGACTCATACCTCGTGCTGTAGGTGAGCGCATCTGACTTGCTTAGCTTATTGAAACCACAAGTATTCAGAGTGGGGCAGCGAGTGGATAACAAAGGGAGCATTGTTGAAGGCACCGCCAGGAAGGAGCATGAGTGATATTTCATTGCCTCTTGACATCATCTGCAACTGGACACGTCTCAGTTCAGAGTCCAGCACATACGTCAGAACTTTAGTGAGAATCCTGCTCTCTGACAGACCTCTGCTCATGTTATTTAATTCCCCCGCTTGACAATCAGTTCCTGGTGTTTTGTTGTTCGGTTCATGGGTTTGTGTTTTGCGGTAATGGAGACTGAATCTTGGGCCTTACAACGGCCAGGCAAGCCCTTTCCCACCAAATAGCACCCTCAGTCCTCATAACTAACTTCTGCTGGAGGCCTTGCCATCTCTTTGCACGTGTGGTGAAAATATGCATTCGTAAGATCGGGACAGTCCCCAGTGTTCTGCAGCCCCCACATCCATTAGTCTTCCTACACATCCTAGCTTATCTTTGAACAGCTTACAGTTAGGAGGTTTTTATAAGCAACAGCAGTTCTCACAGCTAAAAGGGAACCAAAGGGAAAAAAAAAAAGCCCAACACAAAAGATAAACAAAAACCAACCAAAAAATCAGCAATAAAATAACCCCGCAGCTAAGCTACTGAGTCAGCTGCCGGGTTTTTCCTTAGGTTCGGAAAGTGTTAGCTTTGCTCTCGTGAACTCTGAGTTTCAGCCGCACTGCACTGCAAGCCCCAGAGGTGCGCATGCTGAGGACACAGGGGCAGCATCCAGTGGTACTGCTCAGGGACCAGGGCAGTCCTGCTCCTCTGACATGCCCGGCCAGGCAGCTGTTCACGTGAAACCAAGCCCGGCTTAAGCAGGAATGCCTACCTAGGTCTGCCGACGCAAGTCATTTCTCTCTGATTAATGTAGGTTTAATGTCCAAGGTCGTAAACCGCCTAGAAGGGAACAAGAATGAGCTAATCCATGCTGTCTCTAGCCATCAAAATGTGGTTGGGTCTGCTTCAGACCATGGCTTGGAGCAACTGATTCTCCCTGTGTCTGGCTTGTGAGTCTGGACCAATTCCTTACTCTCTGAACCAGAGTTTCTTTGTGCATAAAATAGGGATGATAAACCTTTTGTCAGAAGGTGCAGCAATTACAGATCATGTATGAAAGGAGCGTAGTGTATCAGAAAGCCTTGAAAAATAAACGATAGACGATATTACTGTGATATTTATAATAACACTCATAATTCTTCTCTTGACACTCAGGTCTTCTTTGAGTTTCTCTTTATGCATGCTCATGCATGTTGGACATGTGCTCTACTACTGAGCTACACCTCCTGCTTCCTCCATTCTAATTTAAGAGCCATCATGTATGATGACCCTCAAAGTCATCTTGGTCTAATGAATTAAGAACCTAGTACTTAAATGAGTGCCTGGTAGAGACGTGGGAACCACATGTTACATCAAAGCAACATGTTTCAAAGAACGATTTTTTTCCCATGTCATGAAAAGTTCACCATGTTTAGATTTCTGCCTCCTCCATCATTTACCCCAGGAAGGATTTTTATTTTTGTTTTTATAACATTATATTTGGATCTAATTATATTTTTCTCAGTAGAGAAAGCTATAAAATGAACCCACAATGTGCCATATTTGGGATGTTCTGATGGCTCAGGTCAACAACATTAAGCTCAATTCAAATTTTTATTTTATTTATTTATTTTTTTGGTTTTTCAAGACAGGGTTTTTCTATAGCTTTAAAAAAAAAAAAAACCTGTTCTGGAACTCACTCTGTAGACCAGGCTGGCCTCGAACTCACAGAGATCCACCTGGCTCTGCCTCCAGAGTGCTGCGATTAAAGGTGTGCGCCACCATGCCTGGCTTCCATTCAAACTTTCCTGACTTTGAAGACAAAAGTAGAAGGGTTGATATGGGTGACCTGTCCACAACTGTCTGTCTATACTCCCCACTTTTAACCACCCTTTGTTAACTACTTCCCACCACAAAAAAAAAAAAAAAAAAGGTCCTCTGACCAAAGTTGAGAGCCACACTAATCTATGGGCAAAAATATAAATATCTCAAAGGCACTTTGATGGCTAGACCTTTTAGGAAAACGATAGTAGGTTGCCCCCAGAGCCTGTGATCTTCCCTGTCATAAGCTTTCACTTGGGTTTACAGTGCCAGCATGAAATCTCTCTTGTGGATTCAAATCCAGTCGGATAGTTGTTGGCTGCTCTTCTAACATCCACACCATTTTCTATCAATGGACGCATTTTGCCAGCAGATCAGTGAAATGCTAAGATCTCTGCCATCTTTTCTCCCCCGGCATCCTATTACACTCTTCTTAACTGGCCCAGCACTCTGTCTACCCCTCCGTGTGTGGTCTGGGGCAAATTTCCATAATCCACAGAGTTTCAATCTCCTCACCTGTACAGCATCAGGCCTAGTCCTGGAGTGGGAACTGTGTAATCTACAGACTCCCTCGTGGCTCTGACATTCTGTGAACTTGAGGTGAGGAGTGTGTGAGCCTGGTTACAAAGATTGGCTGTTCATGCACCAATCAGCGTTATTGAATAAACACCTCCCTACTGGGGCGTGGCAGGAGGGGGAGGGCAAAAGTTAAAAACAATCCGACAGGCTTTGCTGAGAGAGCTATAAAAACCAGCGCTCCCCGAGCAGATCCATTCGATCTGGCAGCTGCCACCTCACAAGCTTCAGCTATCTTAGAGGACTCTTCGGTTTCCCTGTGTAAGTAAAAGGACTTCCTCTGAATACCTGGGCTGGACTAGCAAGCTGGGTTAAGCATAGCACTGTGTTTGCCTGGTGGTGTCTAAAACCTTGACGGACCTGCTGTGTTTACTATTTCTCTCTCTCTCTCTGAGTGTGAATACTCATTCATATCTTTCCTGAAGGTGACAAAAGTGTTCCAGATGAATGGCCAGTTACTGCTTGCCCGTGTGACGCACCTCTAAGTCTTTTGTCTTGAAAAAAAATACTGTAAACAGTTTTATTTGTAGGATTCTCATCAGGTTAGATTCCTCTGATTCTATATTCTCTTGTACGTGTTGTGACGTTCTGTGTCTGTGTCTGCTGCCTTGTGTCATTTTCTGGGTTCTTCTCCCACACCTATTGGTACTAGTGCTAGAGTTTTTCATCCCACAAATGGACCCTTGGGGCCTTTGCCCTTTGCCTTCTCCTGGGCTAGACACTTCAGAGTGATCATCTTCAATTATGAATCCCACAGCCTTCCAACACACTTGATGTTTTCCCTATCATTTTCTACTTGAACTAGACCCTGTGAGGGCCGTGCAGCTTCAGGTGTTAGGGATGAAATCCCGCTAATTTACCCTGGTATATTTTCTCTACTATCTTAGAAACAGTCGTACTGTGAGAATATGTTACCTTTTTTTTTATAAACCCCTCTTCAACCAAATACATCAGACTCCAGAGGTCATTTTGACTCTGCTGCTGTGGTATTACTATATTAGGTAAGGGGTATGTGGGGAGCACACAGATCCAGGCTAGAATTTGAGAGGATAGGATATAAAACGGGGTGTGGCTGCTGAGAACTGGACAGTCGCTGTGCTTAGGTCTCAGACTGGAGAATAGAGCACCAGGACTCAGGCTAAGGTAGCCCTAAGCCATCTTATCATGTGTGTCTCTGTGGCAGCAGGGTGGGTAACAAAGCTACACACATCTTCATGCTCCCATACATGTGTGTGCTGTGAACACGACTTGGTAATCACAGACTTCCCATGAAGTACAGCCTCCCCGCTGTATTTGCCTTGAGCATAAAGAAACCAATGGACTCTGCTCTTACATTTCTCCACGAGTTAAATATCCGCACCTTACAAATGACCGACTGCAGAACCTCTTCAAGGAAGGCAGAAAGAACCACACTCCAAGATTCAATCCACCATTTTGCAGAAAGACTATAATAGGGTTCTAAGTCGGAAGCCATTAAGATGTGACGTATAGCCACAGAACCTAACTTAGGTCTTTTGAGCCTCAGGTTCCTCATCTTTAAAGTGGTGGGTTTGATAGAAATATCTCTGAGGCCAATTGAGCTCTGCCTCAATTCTGACTGTCTCCTCATGTATGTTAACATATACTGCCTTCCCCATGCTTTATATATGCACCTGTTTAACACACACACACACACACACACACACACACACACACGCACACACACACACATGCACACACTCACACACCCAAACAAACATTGCAAAGAATGAACGCAACAAAATACTAGGTTTCCCTACTCTTTCCCACTCTGCAAAAGTAACGTCGAGTTACTCTATTTAGAAAGACTAACAAATAGTATATTGCCATCATTTCTTTTGTTGTTTTTAAAATAAGACAATAGTATGCATTGCATATTTCTCTGGGATTTTTTTACTTAATAATTAAGGTAAATTATTTCCTATTACACTTATAAAAATAAAACAATTTGGGATCTCAGAAATCAGAAGTTAGGGGTATAAAATTCTTTATCTATCTTTATCTACTCTGGGCTGGCATTCTGTCTCCCAGTTGTGAACATTGACCAGTGACTGTTTTATGATTAACTGGGGGGCAAAATTTGTGCTGATGTGGTACAGACCTTTAGTCTCTTTGTAGAAGTTTAACTTGCTGTAAACAGGATGAGGTGGACTTGACTTTCCCCTGTAATATTTGTTGAGTAAGCAGACTCGGAACGGAGACAATAGCCTGATAGTAACAGAAACAGGGGTGCTCTTTGGGTGAGTACTTTCCTTTCAAACATTAAAAAAATACAAATTTATTGTGTTTTCCTATTATCGATAAATATCTTCATACCACCACACACACATACACCAAACACACACACACACGCACACATGCATGCCACATATGAACACACACACACACACCACAAAACAGGAAATAAGTGTCTTCATACTTATTATACAGTTAGCAACTTACATTTTGGGCAACCACATTTCTCAGAGGTTGCATATGAGTCACCTGTAGTCAGACAACCAGAGCGGATATTAGTGTCAGTTAATTAATATTAAAATAAAACCTAGAGACCTTTGATGACCTGCCCAGGGTTCTAACTAGGGAGGCAGAGATGGTCCTTGAGCAAGCTCTCTCTAATGTCCTGGCAGCACATCTCCATGTGACTGTCAGATGTCTGGGAACTGGCAATGTCTTGGTGGAATAACTCTTAGCCCAAGGTACACTAGACTGTCATTAGGACTTAGGAATCGTCTCCAGTCAGTTCCTTCCACCAAACCTATGCTCCCCTTTGAATAAAAGGGGAACACCAACCTTCCCCCTAAATTTGTACATTACTAAGTATTGACCCTACAACAAATAATTTAGATTATCATCTACTCCTTCCAAATCTAATGATAGGAGGGTGTTTTAGCAACTTATTTATTGTCATGACAAAACATCATAACCAAGGCAATTTATAAAAGAAGACATTGAATCTGGGGCTCACAGTTCCAGAGAGTTAAAGTTCATGACCATCACAGCCAGGAGTATGGCAGCTGGCAGGCAAACGTGGCTTTGCATCAGTACTCGAGAGCTTACATCTTGAAACACAACCATGAGGCAGAGAGAACTGACTGGGGATGACAAGGGCTTTTGAAGCTTCAAAGCCAGCCCCCAGTGAGACGTCTCCAACAAGGCCACACCTCCTATTCTTTCCTAAATAGTTCCAACAACTGAGGCCTGAGTACTCAAATGTACGAGCCTAGGGGGGCCATTCTCATTCAAAGAACCATAGAGAGAAACAGACTTGAACTGCTTTCCAGCATTACTGTGAGGAATACATTGCATGGTCAATGCATGTCAAGCAATTGGCAGCAGGCTTGACAATAGACAATAATGTGTTATTATTACTGGGTCAGTTTTTCCTTTTGTTTTATTAAGGGCATGTTTTTAGTAACTGTCATCTTATTTGTGCCAATACCTAAACTGAGAAGGGGATTTTTGTACCTTTTGTGCCACTCTGGTTGGCCTTTTGCCGATCTGAAGATCTGGAAGCTAGATCTGAAGCTAAAAATCCTTGATGCTGGGGCTGGAGAGATGGCTCAGAGGTTAAGAGCACTGGCTGCTCTTCCAGAGGTCCTGAGTTCAATCCTCAGCAACCACATGATGGCTCACAATCATCTGTAATGAGATCCGGTGCTCTCTTCTGGCAGGCAGGGATACATGCAGACAAGACACTGTATACATCACTAATAATTTTTTTAAAATTCTTGATGCTTGACATAATATATAAACACAGAAAATGTCATCTTTCTGTTTCTGGGACTAGAAGTAGTCTTAGAAATAATTTTCTCTAAATATGTTGCCCACTGCCTTGCCCTAGTGCCCAGTGACAGTACTGGTCTAGAGCAAGAATTTGTAGTGACATAGAGTAGCAACAGCGAGATTGGCAGTTACACCTTCTCATGAATTAGTTTAGCAAGCATTTATTCCTTATACCAAGGGACAGAGTCCCAAGAGCTTCCCTCCAAAGGTTTCAGAGACTGGGAAGAAAGGCTAAAAGATAAAGCTGGGTGATAAGTTAGCCCTCTTGCAGCTTGGAGCTTGGACTACTGAGAATGCTACTTGGTGTGTAGAGCTATCTCTCTGTGCTTAGCAGTGAAGCTAGGATCAGCTGCAGCAAGGACCACCATGTAACTTCAGCAAAAGCCAGAACCTCTAGTCCAGAGGCTCTTGGGAATTTTTCCCAGTGGTGAAACCTAAGTAATCTTTCCTTCATCTTGAAATCTGACATCTTATATTCATCCATTGTGAATAACAACACTTACTCAGGCAAAGGGGACCCAACAGGGCTCATTGGAAATGGACCAGAAGTGTCAATGGAACCCACATAGAAAACCTGCACATTTTAACCATTCTGGTCACTAATGCACTGGAATCACCCACAGTTCTGTGAACAGTTGTCCTATATTCTTTTCCAGACCTGTCACCATGGCCCACCGATTTCCAGCCCTCACCACAGAGCAGAAGAAGGAACTCTCAGACATTGCCCAGCGCATTGTTGCCAATGGGAAGGGCATCCTGGCTGCAGATGAATCTGTAGGTAAGTGTAAGAAAGTTACACCACGTGACAGCATACCCGTGCTTCTCCACCCAGAACAGGCAACGTGATCATCACTGTCCTTCCTCTCAGAGGAAGTATAGGTTTAAGTACTCATAGTCGGTGAGTATAGGCCTTTAGAGCCCTAGAGTCTTAATAAGAAGATTCTAGATTATCAAAGGAAGAAACTGAAGCCCTCCATATTAGTAACCAGTCTGTAGGAAGTCAGAAATTCAATAACCAAGGAGAAGTCAGTAGTCATTGATTCTTTATAACTACACATCATGGAGAGGGTATTGAGAACTTGCCCTGAAGGGAAACAGAAAGTAAGCTAGATTTGGCTTGCAAAACAGAACTGGGTAGTGAGATCTTCCTTACCCCAGCTTGGACTTGCTGCTAATGAGAAGTTTGTTTTGACTAAGCCAGTCTAGTCAGGGAGTAACCTGGACTAGAGCAGGGTTTGTGACCGAGGAAATCACAGGATGGCACAGGGCAGAGCTAGAACAGTCTTGCATAGTCTCCCCTAAAATAATAAAGGCTAAAGTTAAGAGCCTGTTGCATCCCTCCTTCCACTGAATAGATATCCAATGAGATGTAGAACTGGAAGGGAGAGAGCTAAAGGGCCATTCACATTCCAAAGACCTTGCATATCCAACTGACCCTGCGTGGTAGCCTGTGAATTTCTCATCAGTCTTAGAGCAACTTATGTGTCCTTCTTAAAGACCAAAACCCAGACAGGAACTTTGAAGATCTGGGTTTAAAGGGAAGGAGATGGGATCCTTGCTGCTCTTCACCCTGATGAGGAATACTGAGTATGGGAAAGACAACCAGACAGCACTGGCTTCTTTCTCCTAATGTTGCCTTTGGTCCGTCTCTAGGCACCATGGGAAACCGCCTACAGAGGATAAAGGTGGAAAACACCGAAGAGAACCGCAGGCAGTTCCGAGAAATCCTTTTTTCTGTTGACAATTCCATCAACCAGAGCATCGGGGGAGTGATCCTTTTCCACGAGACCCTCTACCAGAAGGACAGCCAGGGCAAGCTGTTCAGAAACATCCTCAAGGAGAAGGGGATCGTGGTGGGCATCAAGGTGAATATTCTCATCCCTGTTTCACCCTGCCTTCCCCTATGCACACCCTCAACACGCTGGACAGCACATTCTTTCCTATTCTCCTTCCCTGAGGGAGACCTAGGTCCTCTCTGAGACTGCTATTCCAGTGCTCCCTTTAGGAATCTAGTCTCTCTGCATCCCTATTGCCTTGTTCCTTGAGACTATTAGTACCCACTTCTTGCATGATATAAGGATGAAACGAAGTTTCTTTTTTTTTTTTAAAGATTTATTTACTTATGTGTACATCATTCTTTCCATGTGTGACCACATGCCAGAAGGGGGCGCCAGGTCTACATTGCAGATGGCTGTGAGCCACCACGTGGTTGCTGGGAATTGAACTCAGGGACTCTTGAAGAGCAGTCAGTGCTCTTAACCACTAAGCCATCTCTCCGGCCCACAAAGTTTCTTTTTTAAAGCAGATCCTGTCCTGCAGCTTTTCAGTCAACCACAGTTATTTGTCTTAAAGCGCCTGTTCTCTGGTGAAAAGCAGCATTCATTGAGTGCACACAACTGCAAGCATTACTTAATCCTCCAGACAAAATTCCAAGGTAGATTTCGTTCCTGCCCTTATTTTACAGAGCATGAGTGAAAACCGACACTCCTGGGGGGCTGTAACTTGCTCACACACAGGCTTCCTGCTCTTCTCTGTTACTTTGATTGGAGTAGCATCCTTAATCTCTTTACCCCCGTCTGAACACAGTGCCTAGAGGAGCAGATGCTCAATAAATGTCAGGACTGACACCGGGTTCCCAGCAGGTTAGAGCCTTTCTGCTGTGAGCTGAGCTATGCCCCCTAGCGACTCATATGCCTTCCTGATTTGCTTGCTTGTGAAAGATGAGAAGGGAGCCAGGAGCTTTGCTGTCTCATTCCTATTTGACACTTGCCAACCTGTTCACTGTTCTTATCCACAGCTGGACCAAGGAGGTGCTCCCCTGGCAGGAACAAACAAAGAAACCACCATTCAAGGTAAGAAGCTTGCGTACTGGTGATACAATGAATGTCATGTGGGCTAGAACTGAAGACAAGTGAAGGAAGAAAAGGGAGACATGTGACTATTAGACCTAACACCAGTGAATACCCTGAATGACTGTTTTCTTGTTTCTTTTCCCTTACCCCAACACTCCCTGGTGCTGGAGATGGAACCCAGAGGTTTTCAAACATCAATAGGCAAAAACTCTGCCACTGAAGTATATAACCAGTTTAAGCTGCCTGCCTGCCTTCCTTCCTTCCTTCCTTCCTTCCTTCCTTCCTTCCTTCCTTCCTTCCTTCATTTCTTTTCTTTCTTTCTTGCCTTCTCCCCTGCACCCACTAGAGTTTGAACCTGGTACCTTAAGTATACTGGGCAATCAGTCCACAACTAAATTATAACCCTTATAACCCTAATAACTTTTTTCTTCTTTATTGTGTATGTGTGTGTGTGTGTGTGCATGTGCACACAAGTACCTGTATCATACTGTATGTGTGGCAGTCAGAACAAAACTTAGGAGAATTAGTTCTTCTCTTCCAGTTTGTAAGTTCTGAAGCTCAAACTCAGGTCACTATTGGCAGAAAGCATCATTATTTTACCAAACCATGTGGTCAATCTTGTTTTGGGGTTTTGTGATAAGAGTCTCTCTCTATAGTCCAGGCTGACCTAGAACTCACACCACCACCACGACCACCCCTGTCTTAGTCTACAGAGTGCTGCATCATGGGAATAAGCTAGAATGCCCAGCTTTGTGTGGTATGGGATATTGAACCCAAGGCTTTGCATGCAGGGCAGGCACCCAACCCCCGAGCTGCATCTCCAACACATCAGTCTCACTACCATTTAATAACTATGTGACCTTGGGCCAGCCTTTAGTTCTGTTGCAATTAAGTGGGTGGCAGTACCCACTTTGCAGAATAGTTACAGGGACTACTTTAGACAACGCACGCATCGTCTCACCTCAGTATGTTGCCTAGAGCTGACAAACTGCACCTGGAACCATGATTTTTACAGAAAACTCCAGGAGCAGTAGAGAGGAATGGCCTCTGGTTTGGGGGCCAGCTTGGATTCTTGTTCCATAACATGCTATTCAGATCTTTGTGCAAGTCATTCACTCTGTCTAAGAAGTTAGCCGCACTGTCAGGTTAGCTCAGCAGAATTTGAATCTCAGCCATCGCTTTTCACATATTCAAAACTTATGGCCAAGACTTTTAAACACCACCAGCAGCAATTTCCACATTTATGAGGACTGTTTTTGACTATGAGTGCCCTAGGTTTTTCTTAGAATATATCAAATATGTATATCAAAACTGAGGTTATTAAATGTAGGCCTTCTGGCTTCATACTCTGGTCAATGTTTATTTGCCTGGATAGTCTCAGTTCTCAAAGACAAACCACTGGGAAATGCCTTCACTTTTTCAGGGGCTTCACGAACCAGGTACAGGGTACAAAGCCTTTTTTTTGTTGTTCCCTATTGTGACTTGCAGGGCTTGATGGCCTCTCTGAACGCTGCGCTCAGTACAAGAAAGATGGTGTTGACTTTGGGAAGTGGCGTGCTGTGCTGAGGATTGCTGACCAGTGTCCATCCAGCCTTGCTATCCAAGAAAATGCCAATGCTCTGGCTCGCTATGCCAGCATCTGCCAGCAGGTGCTCCCCTCTCACCTGAGCTGAAAAGTGGGCTGATTCTTCCTTTCCTCAGAGCCGCACTTTTATTATAATCAAATATTATATTAAAATATTCCTATTTTATTATAATCAACCCAAATTGCTCTTCTTCCCTTACTAAGATATAAATATATTAGTATATTGTACATGTCATATTTTATTACTTTAACCATAGTCACATGTATAGTGAGAACTCTGGTTCCAGAAGCCAGGAGGAGTCCTTAATAGTTTAACAACTATGACTTCAGGAACAATGCCCTCTATGGTTGCCCTCTGCTATTGGTCCAGAAGCCAAATCTTAAAAAATAATCAGGCTCTAGAGCAATCACTCTTGACCTTCCTAGTGCTGTGACCCTTTAACACAGTTCCTCAGGCCATGGTGATCCCCAACCGTAAAGTTCTTTCATTGCTACTTCCTAACTGTCATTTTGCAACTGTAACAAATTGTAATGTAAATATAAGATATGAACCCCCAGAGGGGTCATGACCCACAGGCTGAGGAGCATTGCTCTAGAGGCAGGGACTCTGCCTGTTTATACTTTTATATATGTTTTATATATGTTTATACCATAATGCCCAAGCAATGCTCATTTTAAATACCTAGCTATAAAGTGGTAGCTTGGACAGAGTCTCAATTCAACTTGCCTTTTATAAGCTGAGGACTGACTGCTAACATTTCCACCCGACATGTGCTGAAGGATCTCTGCTTAGAGTTCAATCTGATTTGTAACTGTGGGTATTTTCTTAAGATTATTGGAGTTGTGTGTACCTGGAAATTCCCACTAAGGGCTGGAAACTCTCTTTGAATTCCTTAAATAGTACTAGAGGGCATCTCTTACTATTAAACTTAAAAGGATGACCTCTGGTTTCTTAGACAGCTAAAATGGTCTGCAATTAAAATAACATAGAAATGAAAGGTTTGCATTTAAAAACCCACTCCAGAAAAGCTTCTCTTTGCCTTCACTGTTGTGTGGGTGTGTCTAAGCCACAAGTGCTCACTAGTTACTCCATGTTCCTTTCAACTACCTTCAACTAAATTGCATAGCATTTCTCCCTAATACCTTCCTTTTCTTTTAGCCACATCTGCTAGCTGCTTCCTAGCAGAGGACCGCAGTGAGCATCACCTCATCTTTGTGCCCCTTCCATTTTCTTTTTCAGAACGGGCTGGTACCCATTGTTGAGCCAGAGGTGCTGCCCGATGGAGACCATGACTTGGAACACTGCCAGTATGTCTCTGAGAAGGTAGGTTTGAGACAGAAAGTCCTCTATTCCAGTTAAAAGTTTCTACTTTAAGATAAAGCTTTTACTGAAACACAGCTGAATTTCAAAAAATAGCCTTTAGTTTGGTATCATTTTATAGCATGGGAAAGGCAAAGACGTGCTTATCAACCCTTCACATTTTAGTGCATAGATCTTGTAGTAGCATAATTTGAAATCTATAATCGTTTTGCCTGAATTTCTCCACTTATAAAAATAATTATGTAGTCTGAGAGAACATGTGAAAGAACTGTTTCTAAAATGTATGTTATAATTATCATTAGGATTCCACAGAGAAGTGGAGGATAGTTTCGGTATTTCAAACTACTGAATCAAGGCAGTCTCAGATGGCATTGGCCAACGAGATGGGAAGAGAAGAATGAGGATTCTCTAGAAAACAGAGCCATGACAATAGTTCATGCAGAGGAACAGCTAGTGGTGGAGATGGCCCAATGTGGTTAGGTTCAATGACACAGTATGCAAATACATGACCCAGAGACCTGCAGGTCTCAGAAGCTTTGACCAAGAGACACATGGAGATAGCCTTATCTTTCACCCTTGTAATGCAGAAGTGCCAGGGTCATGTGATTCTAGAACTTACTCTAAAGTTCACCTATGTTGTCGGCTTGCTTTTCAGGTCCTGGCTGCTGTCTACAAGGCCCTCAATGATCATCATGTTTACCTAGAGGGCACCCTGCTAAAACCAAACATGGTGACTGCTGGACATGCCTGCACCAAGAAGTATACACCAGAGCAAGTGGCCATGGCCACCGTCACCGCTCTCCACCGCACTGTTCCTGCTGCTGTTCCTGGTAATGCCTTCTTCCTCCTCAGCCTGCCGGGCTTAGCTCTTATTCTTTGGAAGGGAGCCACAAACGTGTATTTGTGTGGTGCCTGTTTGTATCCTTGGAACAAGAGATCATCTTCTTCCTCTCAGGCATCCGATACTTCATCTCCTACTGTGTGATGACTGATGACAAGTATCTTCAGTCTATCTAAAGGCTCGCACGTGTATTTCCTCAACATTTCACTGCCCTCCTTGTTTGAAGCCCTTCTCTTCTTAGTCTAACTAGCCTCGGCCCCAGTCCCATGCAAATCCAGTAGAAGATTAAGACATTATATTTCTTTTTGGTCTATTGCTTGATTTTTTTTCCAGCTGGGACTAATAGAGTAGAATGATCTCTCTCGTTCCAGGTATCTGCTTTTTGTCTGGAGGCATGAGTGAGGAGGATGCTACACTCAACCTCAATGCTATCAACCGTTGCCCTCTGCCAAGACCCTGGAAACTAAGTTTCTCATACGGAAGAGCCCTGCAGGCTAGTGCACTGGCTGCCTGGGGTGGCAAGACTGAAAACAAGAAGGCAACCCAGGAAGCTTTCATGAAGCGGGCTGTGGTAAGAAGTTGCTCACTTTTATCTTCTTCATGGAGCTGACACGTGGGACCCAACAGTCTGGCTTGGAGAAGCACTATTCCCTACAGTCCACGGATGCTCCTACAGATAGTGTATATTAGCTATTGAAAATGTGATACAACAGCTAAGTAGGAAGATTAGGGTTAGAAAGGGTTTTGAATTTTCTATCCTAGCCAGACAGTTGATTGTAGAAGTCGGAAAGGCATTCTCAATCAAGGCACTTTGGAGGGAAGTTTAGAGGATCAAGACCTGAACTTGAGATATCTTTCGTTTGGAAACATGGACAAGAAAGGATATGGTGAAAACCAGTAATGATATAGTAGGATGAATCAAGGGTTCTATGGAAAAAAAAATAGAAGCGTTCCGAGGAGTCAATCTCACATACTACAGAGAAATTAAAAGTAAAGGTCCTGAGATTAGCACTGAGGAGCATACCCATGATCCTCAGCAAAGAAAAGAAAGGTGCCCATGTAAGAATTTTGTTAGGAATTTTAACATGTAGCACTAATTGGACTCAGTGGGTTACTAACAAAAACTAAAAGGGACAGGGCATGAAGTACAGAGGCGAATTGTTGGGGATTCCAGGAGGAAGTGGGGAAGAGAAGTTGAGGTTTTTATATATACACATATATGCATTGTTTATGGGTATGAAATTATCAAAATATAAATAAAATATATCCTATTTAAAAACAAAAAAGTACTGTTGGGAAAAGAACCCAGAAGGGTGTCCAAGGGAAACAAGAACCAAATAAGTTTTTAGTTAACTAGTAAACATTAGGATTTATATATGCTCGATGAGACAAGTGCTCTGGTGATCAAACAGACACAGGCACTGTCCTGGGGAGTTTGGAGTTTAAAGAACCAGGAGAGAGGATGGATGGAATAAATATAAAGTAAACGGAGCCTGAGACGACAGTGAGATTAGGGAATGAGGGTCACTAAAGGTAAAAGGACCAAGAGGACACCGATTGTAAGAGACTATTAATGGTCTTAGAAAGACACAAAGGAGGGAAGAGGTGGGCAATAAGTGGCATGAACCTCAAAGGATAACAAGGAATAAAGCATAGGATGAGGTGGTACCAACGGCCATATTCAGCTGCATTATTATAAAGAGTTAAAATAATCAAATGGAAGTGTAGGTGGTTTCAAAAGAGCAGTAGAGGGTATCAAGTCAAAGGCTGTGGCTCCTTAATTCAGTATCTTCTGTTATGTTTGCTTTTTAGGCCAACTGCCAGGCAGCCCAAGGACAGTACGTCCACACGGGCTCTTCCGGCGCTGCTGCCACCCAGTCTCTCTTCACAGCCGCCTACACCTACTAGATCCTGTTACCCACCAGCCAGGCCCCAGTTCTCCTGAGTATTCAGGTTGAAGAGCTGAAAGGCTTCAGTCAACCCTAGGGACTAGATAAAATTTGATTGAACTGCTTAAAAAACAATAGATATGAATCACAGACATAGGCGAAAAGCTCAATCAGCTGTTGAGACACAAGTGTGGGCAAGCCACACTAGAGTCTCTGAATACCTCCAGGCCTGGTGTTCCAGAACACACACCCAGGAAAGAATAGGCATTCAAGGAAAGCCAGTCCTCCAAATGCTGAGGAAAGCTCCTCAGAGGCTGGGGGGTGGAGAAGGGCATTTTAATAAACATACTTACCCAGGGTTGCTTATGAAGGATGCACAGCAACAGAAAAAGAAATAAAACGTGTATAAACCTTCAGTTGGTACTGTTTTCTTTCTACTCCTGTTGATGAGCTCTGTGTTTTGCCATCTTTGACTATGCTAGACATGACTGGGATTGACAGGTAGGATCCTCAGCTCTGGAGAGGCACTAAAAACAAATGGCTCACGTTTCCTGTTTGCTGAATGAAACTAGAAACTCTAACAGGTTAAATGAAAATTCTCTTAGTGGTCCCAATGTACAGCCATGGGTGAGAACAGCCAGTCCCGACTTCTGGTTTGAGGATATTTGAAAGGACTAAGCTGCCGCAGAGAATCATCTCTGTGTTGTGCAAGACACGACTCAACACACCTTCTGACTTGATGCATTCCTCTTCAAGGACCCAGGCTTCGTGACACAGAACTGCATTTTCCTCTCTGAGCCACTCTTGTCCCCTGGGTGTGCAATAAACAATCGTCACACAATTTTAGCTTTGGCTGCCAATGTTCAGGCCTAGTTTTCAAAAAACAAAAAAAGTTTAAAAAAAATCACAATCACAAGAGAATTTGAATACTGAAACTTTGGACAATACAGAAAGGATTCTCCTGATGGGAGTTGGGATATATGATGAGTGGGGAAGGGAAAAAGCAGAGGCAATTAGAAATATTGCCTAACACAAACATGTTGAGAAGTAATGTCTTAGATGATGAAGAAACCAGACACAGTTAAAAATACATACCTATAATTAAATTATAGGAGGTGGCTAACTAAATTCCTTGAATAATATAAAGACAAATGGTGTTACAATAAGTGAACTAAGAAACAAAGACATAAACATATGATTCTGAGAAATTCCTCCCAGAGTTCGTCTAAGAAGTCCTGGAAATGAGGCCTAGGAAAGTGACCTTTACTTGTTATGTGTCATCCACATTTGAATATTTGCTCCCATGTACCTGTCCTTACCTCTCTAGAAGCAACTCTATTCATCAAAGTAATTCAAAACTTACCTTAATTATAAATCTAGATCATTTAGCAAAGGGCTTCTATTTTGCAGATAAAGCCTAGAGCATTTATATTACTTGCCAAACGGTTGACCAGGCGACGCAATGCTGAGAAGTGAGGCGTCAGATCTATATGAATACAGAGCCAGGAAGGGAGGTCACTGGAAAGTTGCTGTCAGTGTTCAATAGCTCTTACATCAGTGTAGACTCTTCCATCAGTGCAGACTCTTACATCAGTGTAGACTCTTCCATTGGTGTGGATCAGCTTTTCCTATGGCATTCATTTTAGGCAGCAAGCAAAACCTTATGCTCTGTATCATGAAGATTTGAGACAAAGACTACAGTTTCTTCAGCACTGGCCTTGAATAATCTTCTCTTTCAGTTTATCTCAGTAGAGCAGGTGAGGAGCGCATACCTCAGAGTCTAGACTTTTTTCAATCTGGGAAAACACAGTAGGTTCCTACTGAAGTTCGAGGCATGCAGAGGCATGACGCACTGGAGGGCATCAGGACGGCACACGGACAAATGACGCTACGGTGTATCCAGATAAAGATCCAGAGAATAAAGAGGCAGAAAGAAAATTCAAACAAGTAGCTGAGGTGTTATCAAATCTGTGACAAAGCATGACAAAGAAGGATTAAATGGTAGACGAGAGGGTGGAAGTCACATTGGTAAACTGTTTGAATTTGGATTTACATTCTAGAAACTAGGTAATTTTTTTTTAAGAAGGGATTGCTTTACATTCAACTTCTTTGCATTAGAATTTTCAAATGTTTCTGTTGTCTTTCTCAGATTAGAATTTGCGACTTGGAATATTACAATAGTGCTAGTTTTAATGAAATAAGAAGGAACTTTAGTACTCCCATATGCCACTGCCATAAAAGCTTGTGGGTAGCACCTTGTGTGACAGATCTCTTCTTGCCTAAAAACTGCCTGAATCTATGCTAGAAACAAACCTTTTAGATACTATCAATGGCTAAGAATTGACTTATTATAATCAGGCTTTTATCTTTGGTCAAGATCAGTTTACATATTCCTGGGGGAGAGAATTTTTATACAGTACTTTCCCTAGCTGCTGTCTGATACACCTTTGTACTGAAGGGCTATACTTCTCATTGAAATCTTATTTACATTTATTTCCTGAATTCCGAAGGGAACTATTACATGACTTTCAACTTCAGTTCCTACTGTCTCCCTGATCACCAAATAAATATATTAATAGATACTAAAATAAAATCTGACAATAAACAGAAAGTAACTAAGAGAAAGTATGTGTTAAGGGAAAATGATACCCTCAGGTCAAACAAGCCTATGCAGTAAAGAACGCTCAGAAGCCACTGACTAGGGGTGCTTGGTATAATACAGGGGGCGGTAGCATTTAAGTGAGGTACAGAAGCTGTAATTATGGGAAAGAAACTGAAAGGCCTTCAACCAGTAACAATCTAAGAACCCTTTTCTTCTTGTGAGAGAAAACTGATTCAAATATGAGCTTACAGTATGTTTTTCAAAAACAAGACACTGAGACTATTTTTAACAATCATACTATATGTGACAAAGAGAATAAAAGTTTTCAAAACTTTACAGATATCAAGGGAGAAGGCATTAAGCCAGGCCAAAAAGGGTTACCTGATTTAGCTTTGAGGGGTCTCAGCAAAGAGGAGCAAGCTGAGTTCTGGGCCCTAATAAACCATCCAAGGTCTCAAATCCAGCTAGGGAGACTTAGGCTACTATAGTTTGAAAACTCCTCTTTGAAGGGAGCACAGACTTTGAATCTAGTGTGCAGGCTATTTTATGTCAACTTGGCCTGAACTAGAATCATTTGAGAAGAGGTAACCTTGATTGAAAAAAATGACTCCATCAGATTGGCCTGTAGGCAAGTCTGCGGGGCATTTTCTTAATTAGTGATTGATGTGGGAGGCCCCAACTCACTATGGGTGGTACCACCCCCTGGGCAGGTGGTCCTACGTGCTAAAAACAGGCTGAGCAAGCTACAGGGGAGCAAGTCCATAAGCTGGATTCCTCCATGGAGTCTGTTTCAGTTCCTGCTTCCAGGTCCCTGCTTGAGTTCTTGTCCTGACTTCCTGTCATGGTGGTGTGTAAGTTGTAAGATGAAAGAAACCTTTTCCTCCCCAAGTTGTTTATGGTCACGCTGTTTTAGCACAGCAAGAGACACCCTTGCATTCAAAGGCTGCCTTTACCACTAACTATGGGCCCATGGACATGGCTTGTTTTCGTGTGTGTGTATGTATGTAATGTTTTCATCTATGATGTGTGTGTGCATTGTTGAGAGAATAAACATGTCAACAGGCCTGAGGCTGTCTGTGATCACCGGTGCAATAAAGATATTAATGCATCTGAGCATGGTCAAGGCCCTGAGTAAAGTTATGTAAATAAATGGTGCTAACATTACATTTTCTCCATAAAATCTGAAAAGATCTGACTTTGGAAACACATGGTCTGAAGGAATTAGGATAAAGAATTGTGGACTTGTCCCCAGAACAGATTAGCTTATCTAAGCTTTAGTGAAAACATACTTGGTTAAGGACTAGTTCCAGGACAGGCTCCAAAGCTACAGAAAAACTCTGCCTCAAAATAAATAAATAAATATTAAAAAAAATTAAGGAGTTCTAAGGAGCCTCATCATTAGTTGAGATCTTGCCCTAGGAACCATTGGCATTAAACAAACTGAAAAGGTGTAGGACAGGTGTAGCTTTGTAGAACTTTAAGCTGAGGCCTCTCAGCAGTAGTGTCCCCCCTCCCCTGGGAACTAAGGACCTAACTATACATGCATGCACTAAATTGTTGGGAACTTTCCATCTCCCTGAGTCCTTGTGAATGCTCTTCAAATAGAGCTTCGTTCCTGAAATTGGGACAAGATAACCCACAGATGTCCACAGATGTTTTGACTCAGTCCCTGGGAAGGGGTCAAAGTGACTCAGATGTTCCCCCTTACCTGATCTGGCAACTGCTCTCCAGCCAATTATTGGTAATAGCTCTTTGAATAAGTCAATCATAATAGTTGAAGAACAACCCTCCAAACTCCCCCCTTATTTCTGTGGCTTTTTACTTTAAAAGTAGCTTGTACCAGCCATTTGGGGTCTTTCTGGCTTCTCGAATGCTGAAAGACCCTGTCATGACAGAATTAATAAAATCCTCTTGGTTTTACATCAACTGTGGTGTGAGAGATGGTCTCTTAGGGCGACTCCTCCTGGTAGTTGGACTTCAGGGTCCAACAGCTTAATGAGTAGGTGGTTTTAAAAATTACTTTGTGCTTCCCCCCTCCCCTCTGGGGCCACAAGATCTCCCCAGAGCTGCTCCCTTGCACTCTGGGCCTGGACTGTGGGCTCAGGCCGGCAGGGGCATTTCCTTTGCTTTGAGAGCCTGCCTGAGGACAGGTAAGCTCTGTCTCAGCTCAGCCACACTCCTGGCCAGCAAGAGACAGTGATCTTCTAGCAGACATCCATTGGAGGAGGGGTGAGTTTTCTCCTGTCCCGAGGGCTTTGGCTAGAAGGAATTCAGACTTTCCCCACCCCCCTCGACTTTCTGGTCAACAGGCAGAGGCGGGCCCTCCCTGCGGAGCTCTCCCGAATCCTGTCCTAGCCTTTATCCAGGTACACCTTCCTCTCTTCCCCCCTTCCCTCTGGGGCCACAAGATCTCCCCAGAGCAGCTCCCTTGTGCACTGGGCCGGGGCTGTGAGTGCAACCCGGCAGGAGGGAGTGCCTGTGTTTCAATAGACTGCCTGCCAAAAGGTAGACCTTCTGTCAGTGAAGTCCCTGCCCAACAAGGGAACCTGACCTGGTACCAGAAGATCCAATAGAGAGCATTTGAAGGAAGAGATGGGCAGATGCCAAGGCAAGAACTCCTCCAACAATCTAAAAAACAACATGAAAACACCAGATACCCATGACCCTACAATAGAAGGTCTTGAACCTCTTAATTCAGAAGAAGCGGAAAAAAAATGCCATTATGAAAGCAATAGAGTCCCTTAAACAGGATATGAATAACTCCCTTAAAGAACTGGATGAGAAGTACAACAAAAAGATTGAAGAAATGAGTAAAGAAATGGATGAGAAATATAACAAAAAGTTCGAAGAAATAAGTAAATCCATGAATGATACACTGGAAACCAAGAAAAAAACAATCAAACAGGTAATGGAAACAGTTCAAGAATTGAAAACTGAAATGGAGTCAATGAAGAAAACACAAAACGAGGGCCGGTTGGATATGGAAAATCTAGGTAAACGAACAGAGACTACAGAATCAAGCATAACCAATAGGATACAAGAGATGGAAGAACGAATCTCAGAGTCTGAAGATACCATAGAGAAAATAAATGCTCTGATCAAAGAAAACAGCAAATCCAATAAATTCTCATCACAAAACATTCAAGAAATCTGGGACACAATAAAAAAACCAAATCTAAGAATAATAGGGATTGAAGAAGGAGAAGAACTGCAGATCAAAGGACCAGAAAATATATTCAACAAAATTATAGAAGAAAACTTTCCCAACATAAAGAATGATATTCCTATGAAGGTTCAAGAAGCATACAGAACACCGAATAGACTTGATCAAAAAAAAAAAAATCCCCTCGCCATATAATAATCAAAACATAAAACATACAGATTAAAGAAAGAATATTAAGAGCTGCAAAGGAAAAAGGGCAAGTAACTTATAAAGGTAAACCTATCAGACTTACACCAGACTTCTCTATGGAAACCATGAAAGCCAGAAGGTCCTGGATAGAGGTACTGCAGAAACTAAGAGAGCATGAATGCAAATCCAGACTACTATACCCAGCCAAGCTATCATTCACTATCAATGGAGAAAACAAAATATTCCAAGATAAGAACAAATTTAAACAATTCATAGCCACAAACCCAGCCTTACTGAAAGTAATAGAAGGAAAATCGCAACCCAAGGAATCCAACATTGCCAACATTACCTACAATAACTCAGACATCTAGTGACCCTTCACGAGCTTAACTCAAAAAAGGGACACATACAAACTCTATTAAACAAATAAACAAAAAATAATAATAACCGGAGTCAACAACCACTGGTCATTAATATCACTTAATATTAATGGACTCAATTCACCTATAAAAAGGCACAGACTAAGAGATTGGATACGAAAACAGGATCCAACATTCTGCTGTTTACAAGAAACACACCTCAACCACAAAGACAAACATCTACTCAGAGTAAAGGGCTGGGAAAAGGTTTTTCAAGCAAACGGACCTAAGAAACAAGCAGGTGTGGCCATTTTAATTTCCAACAAAATTGACTTCAAACTAAAATCAATCAGAAGAGATGGAGATGGACATTTTATACTCATAACAGGAACAATTCATCAGGAGGAAGTCTCAATCCTGAATATCTATGCCCCTAATATAAAGCCTCCTACTTATGTAAAAGAAACACTTCTAGAACTCAAGGCAGTCATCAAACCACACACACTAATAGTAGGAGACTTCAACACTCCTTTCTCACCAATGGACAGGTCAATCAGACAGAAACCTAACAGAGAAATAAGAGAATTATTGGAGGTATTGAATCAAATGGACTTAACAGACATCTATAGAACATTTCACCCAAATAGGAAAGAATATACCTTCTTCTCTGCAGCTCATGGAACCTTCTCGAAAATTGACCACATACTGGGTAACAAAGAAAACTTCCACAGATACAAAAAAATATTAGTAACCACCTGTGTCTTGTCAGACCACCATGGATTAAAGTTAGAATTCAACAACAGTGCTACCCCCAGGAAGCCAACAAATTCATGGAAGTTGAACAGTCAACTACTGAATCACCCCTGGGTCAAGGAAGAAATAAAGAAAGAAATTAAAGTCTTCCTTGAATTTAATGAAAATAAAGACACAACATACTCAAACCTATGGGACACTATGAAAGCAGTGCTAAGAGGAAAGTTCATAGCACTAAGTGCCCAAATAGCATAAAATATCTTGGGGGTAACTCTAACCAAGGAAGTGAATGACCTATTTGATAAGAACTTTAAGTCCTTGAAGAAAGAAATTGAGGAGGATACCAGAAAATGGAAAGACCTCTCCTGCTCTTGGATTGGGAGAATCAACATAGTAAAAATGGCAATTCTACCAAAAGCAATCTATAGATTCAATGCAATTCCCATCAAAATCCCATCAAACTTCTTCACAGACCTGGAGAGAACAATAATCAAGTTTATATGAAAAAACAAAAAACCCAGGATAGCCAAAACAATCTTATACAATAAAGGGACTTCTGGAGGCATTACCATCCCTGACTTCAAACTCTATTACAGAGCAACAGTATTGAAAACAGCTTGGTATTGACATAAGAACAGAGAAGTCGACCTATGGAACCGAATAGAAGACCCGGGTATTAACCCACAAACGTATGAACACCTGATTTTTGACAAGGGAGCTAAAGCTATACAATGGAAGAAGGATAGCATCTTTAACAAATGGTGCTGGCATAACTGGATGTCAACCTGTAGAAGAATGAAAATAGATCCATATCTATCACCATGCACAAAACTCAGGTCCAAATGGATTAAAGACATCAACATTAATCTGACCACTTTGAACCTGATAGAAGAGAAAGTAGGAAGTAGTCTACAAGACATAGGCACAGGAGACCACTTCCTAAGCAGAACCCCAGGAGCGCAGACAATAAGAGAAACAATAAATAAATGGGACCTACTGAAACTGAGAAGCTTCTGTAAAGCAAAGGACACTGTCAGTAAGACAAAAAGGCTACCTTCTGACTGGGAGAAGATCTTCACAAACCCCTCAACAGACAAAGGTCTGATCTCCAAAATATACAAAGAACTCAAGAAACTAGACACTAAAACTCTAATTAACCCAATTAAAAAATGGGGTACTGAACTGAACAGAGAATTCACAACAGATGAACTTCGAATGGCTAAAAAGCACTTAAGGTCATGCTCAACCTCCTTAGCGATCAGGGAAATGCAAATCAAAACAACTTTGAGGTATCATCTTACACCTGTCAGAATAGCCAAACTCAAAAACACCAATGATAGCCTATGCTGGAGAGGATGTGGAATGAGGGGAACACTCATCCATTGTTGGTGGAAATGCAAACTTGTGCAGCCACTGTGGAAATCAGTGTAGCGGTTTCTCAGGAAACTGGGAGTCAACCTCCTCAGGACCCAGCAATTCCACTCTTGGGAATATACCCAAGAGATGCCCTAACATACTACAAAAGCATTTGTTCAACTATGTTCATAGCAGCACTATTTGTAATAGCCAGAACCTGGAAACAACCTAGGTGCCCCTCAATAGAAGAATGGTTAAAAAAGGTGTGGAACATATATACATTAGAGTTTTACTCAGCGGTAAAAAACAATGACATCTTGACTTTTGCATGCAAATGGATGGAAATAGAAAACGCTTTACTGAGTGAGGTAAGCCAGACCCAAAAAGAGGAATATGGTATGTATTCACTCATAAGTGGATTCTAACCGTAATTAAAGGTCTTTGAGCCTATTATTCGTGATCCTAGAGAAGCTAAATAAGAAGGTGAACCTGACGAAAATCATGTAGCTATCCTCCTGGAGATTGGAAATAGACAAGAGTGCCAGGTAACCTCGGGTGCATGGGGGGTGGGGGGGCTGTTGGAAGGGGAGAGGGTTAGAGAGAAGGGAGTAGGGGAGGAATGGGGAATGATCGGGGGACTGGGATGGGGGGAGGGAGAATGGATAGATATGGGATCAGGGAAGTATATACCTCAACTAAGGGAGTCATTTTAGGGTTTACAAGAGATTTGAGTATAAAGGGGATCCCAGGTCCAAGGAGAGATCCCCAGATTGTTCTCTGGACAGAGGAGAGGGTGCCTGAACCAGCCTTGGCCCACAACCATACTGATGAACATTTTGCATATCACCATAGAACCCTCATCTGGCGATGGAGGGAGATGGAGGCGGAGACCCACGTCGAAACACTGGACCTAGCTCCCTAGGTCCAAACGAGAGGCAGAAGGAAGGAGAACGTGAACAAAGAAGGCAAGAGCAGAGGAAACCTTCATCCGACGTTGGGTGGCGATACAGACGGAGACCCATATTGGAGCACCGGACGGAACCCTCCACGGTCCAAATGAGGAGCAGAAGGATGAAGAAAATGAAAAAAGAAATCAGGACTGCGATGGGCACCATCACCCACTGATACAAGGGGACTGATCTAATGAGAGTTCACCAAGGCCAGCTGGACTGGAACTGAACGAGCACGTGATCTAACCAGATTCTCTGGATGTGGCTGGCCCGGAGTCTTTCTGAAAAGCCATTGACAATGACACTGGGACTTGTTTCCTCTGCATATACTGGATTTTTGGGATCCAGTCTGTTTGGATACTCACCTTCCTGGACCTGGAGGGAGGGGGGAGGAACTTGAACTTCCCACAGGGCAGGAAACCCTGACTACTCTTTGGGATGGAGAGGGAGGAGGAGAGGGAGTGGGGGAAGTGGGAGGGTGTTGGGAGGAGGGGCAGAAATGGAAACTTTTATAATTTAATAAACTTAAAAAAAATTACTTTGTGTTTGAGATTGTGTGGCTGCCATGTGGAAATGTGGAAGTCAGAGGACAAAACGCAGTCTTTCTCTCCGTACATCATGAAATCGTGTCTTGGGAGCAAAGGCCTTTATCTGCTAAGGCATCTAACATGCTGAATTAGTTTTACAAAAATAGTTTCAAAATTTATAACTGTGACAATATAACAACAGAATGTACAGAAAATATAACAGAATGTACAGGTATATTACCGCATATATACAGTCTCAACATTTACGTAAACACACAATATGAACACATACAGTATTTGAGGCAAGAAGGATGCTTGAGAATGAATTTTAGAATGTGTGGTTTTGATGTCTATTTTTGGTTGTCAATTTGACAATATCTGGAATAAACTGCTATCCAGAAATGGAGGGCACACTTGTTATCCGGCTCTCAAAGCAGGAAGAGAACATACACGCCTTTGATCCAATCTTGAGGCTGGAAGGCACATGCCTTTAATCTGGTTCTTAAGGTGGGAAGGCACACCTTTAATCTGGGTCACACCTTCTGCTGGACGCCTATCTAAAGACGATGGCAGGAAGTGTTTGTGTGTTTTTCACCTGCTTGCCCTCACCTTGTCAGCCTATCCAATCCTTCACTGGCATTGGAGCCTACTTCCTTGGGATTCCAGCATTTACAGAGGACCAGCTGAGACACCCAACCTCATGGGACTGAGAAAGTACTAGATTGTACAACTTCTCGGCACAGCTAGCTATTGGACTGCTGCCTCTAAATCAGCATAAATCATATATATACTCTCCATGTAGAGAGAATCATTCCAGAATTTCTGTGACTCCAGAGAACCCTAATACAGATTTTGGTACCAAATGTGGAGTTATTTATCTGTGAGAGACCTGACCACTTTAGGGAGTAATGTGGAAAGATTTTGGAACTTAAGGCTAGAAGAACCATTGAGTGCGAAGTGGGATGTTCTTTAGGAGCTTGGGAGATAAAGAATGTCAAGAGCAGTGTAGGGGATGGAGGCCTGGCTTGTGAAGATTCAGGGGGAAGTTTAAAGACTCTATCAGGGCCATTTGTTCTTTTGAATTAAAATTCTGTGGTTCTGGTTAGCTGGGGCTGAAGAATCAGCTGTGATTAACAAGATACCAGAACTACTGAAGGAAAACTTCGCTTTGCTGCAATACTCGATGCTGGCCAGCTGGAGCTGAGAAATTAGCAGTAATTAAGAAGACACAAACATCGAGGTGAAATCTTCTGGGAAGTGTTTCCTGAGAATGCAGAGAAGCCATGTTCCAGAAGCAGCCAAGGTTGTACCTTGTGTTGGCAGCAGCAGGTTGTACCTTGTGTTGGTAATGTATAAGCATCACCCAGGTGGTGCTGCTTTTGAAGGCATGAAGGGGTCATGACGAGCAGCTGAGGCTTGGCAGTGTGAGAGGCCAGGAAAGGCCACTGGTGAAGGTGCAGCTTCAGTAGCAGTTGAAGGCCCAGGACTGAAGGGGTCATGCAAAGGAAGCTGAGGACTGGCACCATGAAAAGAGCATATGAGAGGCTACTGGTGAAAGTGCAGCCCAGTTGCAGCAAGGAGAGCAAGAACCAAGGAAAGACCAGTAAGAACAGCAGCAGCAGTGTGGGGTCAGCAGGAGCCTAGAAGACAAGCTGTGTGTGCTGCAAAGGGCAGAGACAGAGAAGTGACCCAAGACCTGTGAAGGAGTCTAGACGATCGTGAGTGAATCCCAGATAATTGGACATTGAATTATTTATACTACTGGAGCTTGGTTTTCTTAGTTCAGACTGTGACTGTGCCCTGATTTTTTCCTCTTGCATGAACGTATTTTACTGGAGCCCACAGTTGAAAGACTTTGAATTTTAAAAGACTCTGAATTTTTAAGAGATTGGATATTTTAAGGGGATGAAATTTTAATGTATTTAAATTTGTAAAGACTTTGAAAGTTATTTGTCTTGTTTATGTGAGATCTTGGGGGTGAATAAGAAAGGAAGGATTGTGGCTTAATAGTGATGTGCTTGTGTCAAGTTGACAAGGGATCAGTTGTACTGGCTGGCTTTGTGTGTCAACTCCACACAAGCTTGAGTCATCAAAGAGGAAGGAGCTTCAGTTCAAGAAATGCCGTCAATGAGTAAGGCATTTCTCACTTAGTGATCAATGGGGGAGGGCCCAGCCCATTGTGGGTGGTGCTATCCCTGGGCTGGTGGTCCTGGGTTCTATATAAAAGCAGGCTGAGCAAGCCATAGGCAGTAAATCAGTAAGGAGGACACTTCCATGGCCTCTGCATCAGCTCCCGTTGCAGGATCCTGCCCTGTTTGAGTTCCTGTCCTGACTTCCTTCAGTGATGAACAGCAATGTGGAAATGCAGACCAAATAAACCCTTTCTTCCCCAACTTGCTTTCTGGTCATGGTGTTTTGTCGCAGCTATAGAAACCCTAATTAAGACAGTGGTATGTAGAAAAACATTTGCTCAAATTAACAGCATTAGGGTCAAGGTTCTGATGATTTAGAACTCTATACTCAGGTATTGAAGTACCCAGATTTAATCTTATGTTAAAGTACTCCAGAAAAATGCTAATGTGTCACAGAGAAAACAATAGAAATTTCCTTCAAACCTTCCACTCCGATTTTCAAAACACGGAAGTCTATTAGGGCTGATATTATCCTAAAGCAACTAAAGACACAAAGCCAAAACCCAAATAGGTTTTAATGATTAAGATATATAAATTAATAAGTATATAAGTTTTAACTAAAGAAAGACCTAGAATTAAGAATAAAGATTTAAAACTTGGATGTAAATCTACCATAAAACTTAAAGAAATACCAAAATATCTAATCTTTTTAGCATATACTTTAGGTCTTTTTTTATGTCCAATTCTTGGTAATCGAAATATGTACTCTTTCACATTTTCCTGATTATGCAGGAATAAATTTATATTGATATAGTATTACATGCAAATTTAAGAGATGGCACAGCACAAAATAAACCAGTAATCTTCTATCTTTTGGGGCCCATTTTGAGGGTCAGGGGAAGACTCCCAGACTCCTTGGTAACTTTATTGGTTTAATTGCCTACAAAGACCTTTACAACTTGATTCACTCACTTTATCACCCAGGGAAGCAGGGGAGCTCCCACCTTTCACAACTAATTTTCCACACAACTGTTTTAGACAGTGATAGAGTGTATAGTGACTGTGAGCACATCTGGACTTCCCCAAATTACATTTGATGACTCATTGGGGTTTGACTTGTAGAGTCAAGCATCATGGAACTGAAGGGAACACAAGGAGATGGGAACACAAGACTTTCTGAATTATTTCCAGCTTCTATCAGTTGTTCCTAGTTCCCTTGCATTAATTCACTTGGTCTTTCAGAACATTTATGATTTGTCCAGTCAACTCTCCTAAAAGGTTAGGTTTAGACAGACCAACAAATCTGTGGGTACAAACCCAAGAGTAATCGCTAGGTCAGTTTTCCACAGGCACTGTCCACTATTCATAGGATCTTTAGAAACTATGTGCACAAGGCCAAGGAAAAATTGCTTTATCACTATATCTGACCCACACTGGAGCCATACTAAAACTGCACTTCGGTAGCTAGTCTCAAGTTTGGGCATACAAGTGTCTCTAATTTTACTGCATCCACAGAATATGCAACTTTTGATGTTGAATTAGAGACAGCTGACAATGAAAGGCTTCACCACAAGCGTCACACTCGTAGACTTCCTGGGCTCTCACCTCTCTGTGGATCTTCTGGTGGTTGACTAGGCTGCGTTGTTGACTAAAGCTTTTGTCACACTGCTCACACCTGTAAGGTTTCTCTCCTGTGTGGATTCTCTGGTGCTGAATGAGACCCGAGTTCCTGCTAAAGGCTTTCCCACATTCCTCACATTTGTGGGGTTTATTACCGGTGTGAACACCCTGATGTCGGATAAGATTACAAAGCTGACTGAAACTTTTGCCACACTGCCTGCACAAGTAAGGTCTCTCACCAGTGTGGATTCTCTGATGCTCGATAAGGAACGAGCTCCGACTAAAGCTTTTCCCACAGACGGTACACAGGTAGGGCTTCTCACCCGTGTGGATCCTTTGATGCTGCACCAGATGCGCACTGACACTAAAGGTTTTCCCACACTCCTCACACTTGTAAGATTTTTCCTTGGGGTAGGTGTCCTGCTGTGTATCAAGATTGCCATTAGGATCAAAACTTTCCTTAGCTTCACTGTATGGAGAAGTCTTTTCCCTGATATGTATTCTCTGATGCTGAATTAGTCCTGAGCTTCTGCTGAAGGCTTTTCCACATTGCTCACACTTGTGGGGTTTATCTCCTGTGTGGATTCTCTGATGACGAGTAAGGTTGCAGAGCTGACTGAAGCTCTTCCCACACTCTTTGCATTGATAAGGACGCTCACCAGTATGGATTCTCTGATGTTCAATGAGAAATGAGCTCCGACTGAAACTTTTCCCACATTCAATACAAAGAAAAGGCTTCTCCCCTGTGTGTATTTTTTGGTGTTGTATAAGGTACGTACTTAATCTAAAAGCTTTCCCGCAGTCGGCACACTTGTGAGGCCGTTCTCCAGTGTGGATTCTCTGGTGTTCCACAAGCAGTGAGTTTCGGCTGAAACTTTTCTTGCATTTGGTACAGTGATAGGGTTTCTCGCCAGTGTGTGTTCTCTGGTGCTCGATAAGGTGTGATTTCCAACTGAAGGCTTTTCCACAGTCACTGCATTTATGGGGTTTCTCGCCCGTGTGGATCCTCTGATGTTTAACAAGGCTCCGTCTCTGGCTGAAGCTCTGTTTACACTGACCACACTGGTAAGGCCTCTCTCCCGTGTGGATTCTCTGGTGTCTGATAAGAGTGGAGCTGACACTAAAGGTTTTCCCACAGTAACTGCACTCATAGGGCCTCTCCCCCGTGTGGATTCTCTGGTGTTCGATAACAAAGGAGCTCCGGCTGAAGCTCTTCCCACACTCGGTGCACTGGAAAGGCTTCTCACCGGTGTGGACCCTCTGATGCTGAATGAAATGGGCCTTGCGGACAAAACCCTTTCCACACTCTTCACATTTATGACACTTCTCTTCCGAGTTCGGTCTCTTTCGAACATTAGCGTGTCCTCTGAACTTATTCTGTTCCTGGGTCAGAGATTCACGTGGTAGTTCCCATAAGAAGATCCCTCTTTGTTTATCTAACCTACCAACAAGTTCAAACGTTTCGCTACCTATAGGATCCTGGTCAATTTCACTTTTGATTCTTGTTACTATTATACCTGGTGGTTCTATGTCTTCCTCAGTTTCCTCTTTCACAGTTGGCTCTTCATCTTTATTTCTGTTTAAAACATCTGAAATATTTGTAAATAAAAAATATGATTATCAGGCAAGCTCTTTCATGGCAAAGAGAAATTATTAGAAAAGCAAGGTCACCAAGATAAACCAACCTACTAATTAGTAAACATACTAATTAATGTGTGTTTTCTTTTATCTTTTACTACTTCAGTTTTTGGTTTTTTGTTTGCTTGTTTTTCACCTGTTTGTTTTTGAGACAGGGTTTCCCTGTGTAACAGCCCTAGCTGTCCTAGAACTAGCTCTGTATACCAGGCTGACCTCGAACTCACAGAAATCCACCTGCCTCTTCCTTCCACTGGGATTAAAGGCTTGCCACTACCTGGTCCACTACCCGGTCCACTACTTCAGTTTTAAAATTAATTCATAATACATATTTATCAGATAATCTTACAAAGAGGCAAGATATATTGCCTAGACTGGCCTTGAAATCCTGGGCTCATGAGATTCTATTTCAGCACTCTCTGTAGGTAGGACTATAGACGTGTGTCACTATTCTTGGTTTAGTATTACTTAACATTAGTTATCTGATTTGTTTACTGTTGTTTAGTTTTTATAGCAGTGTGACTATCAAAGAAAGAATACCATGGCAAGAAAATAGTAAGTTCAGGAAATTTGGATGGGAAAGCATTATTGGGATGTGAGTAGACAAATAGTTGAGAGAAAACACATAAGAGGATCCTAGGGAGGAATAAAGACAATCTGAGATTCTACAGTTAATTTATTAACCAGAATTTACTGACTATCTAAAGCACGCCAAATATTAAGTTCTGAGCTAAGATTCAAAGATCAGACACAAAATACTACCAAATGAAATGATGTTAAGAGAAACTGGAGAGAAAATACTAATAATGATTACAAGTTATTAAGTAAACAGCAACACCTAGAATAAAGAATTGGGATATCTAGTAATAAGAATGAAATAAACTATATATATAGTTGGTGGAAAAAAGTGAAAAATGTAGTCTATGCTAGGTGCTAGTAAATACTATAGAAAAGTGAAAGATGGATTTTTAGAGTAGTAGCAAAAAAATAAACTTAGGAAAAAATGTAATTAAAAAGGTACAAGATTAGAAAAAGGAATAGCAGCATACTCCTATAATCCTAACACTCACAGAGACTGAAGCAGGAAGACTACTGTAGTTTGAGGCTACCTGTACTGATGAGATTATATGTCAGCCTCTATGTCTTCCCATCCTGTGCTCATAATTAAATGATCTCCAACAGGCAAGCTGACTCAAAGTGGGTCTCTCTAGAAACCCAGAAACGGAAAAGCTAGTTAAAATGAATGCAACTAGAATTGCAACCTGCGAACACAGCGGTTAAAAAGAATAGAAGCATGTGGACAGAGGAAGAAAGACTAGTTGGCCAAGGGAAAGATACGGCAAAAAGTTATATAGACTGAATGTTGCACCCTCTCTGCTGCAATCCTAAGCCCCAATGTGTTAATGTGTTAAGATTTGGAAGAGGGTTCTCTCTCTCTCTCTCTCTGTCATATGAAAATATAATCTTTAGTTATAGAAATAAAAGTGAATGTAATCTTAGTACCAAGGTACATACACACACACACACACACACACACACACACATACACAACGACAAAAAAATTACTGTGATGCTTTTGGAATCTGCCCACAATGTAAACACCAAAACCATTATTATTAGAACATATACTAATGTAAATGTGACCTATAAACAATATTATGTACTTTGAAGTCTTAAATTTTTATGTATTTATTTTTTAATTTCATTTTATATTCCAACCATAGTTCTCCTTCCCATCCCCACCACCCCTATCCCCCTTCAAATCCCTGCCAGCTCACCTCCTGACCACTCCTCCCAGAGGGTAAGGCCTCTCACGGGGAGTCAACAAAGCCTGACAGATTAAGTTGAGGTAGGACCAAACCCCTCCCCCCTGCATTAAGGCTGAGTATGGCATCCTACTATAGGGAATAGGCTCTGAAAAGCTAGCTCATGCACCAGCGATAGATCTTGGTCCTACTACTGCCAGCAGTCAGAAGGGGGTTCTCTTAAAAAAAGAAATCAGGTTTAGATGAGATCAGGAAGTGGGGTCTTCACAATAGAACACAGAGTCCTTGTAAGAACAAAGACAAACATCCCCCTCCCCAGATCACATGAGGACAAAGAAGGCAGTCATTTTCACTGGAGAGATCTCCATCAAGAACTCAGTTTATCAGCACCCTGAGTTTGAATTTCCTAGTCTATAGAACTAGATAAATAGAGGCTGGAGAGATGGCTCAGTGGTTAAGAGCACTGACTGCTCTTCCAGAGGACCCAGGTTCAAATCCCAGCACCCACATGGTAGCTCACAACTATCTGTAGCTCTAGTTCCAGGGAATCTGACACCCATGGCAAAACATTTATACACATGAAAATAAAAAACAAAAATTAAGAAGAAAAAAAATTGCTTAGGTTTTGTGCGATGAAGGGCATATCAAGTAGCATGAAACAGCTCTCCTTTAAAAAAAAAAACCAAAAAAGAGAAATCCTGTCTCAAAAACAAAAAACAAAAAAAGGAAAAGAAAGAAAAAAAGAGATAAATAACAGTGTTTACACCATCCAGGCTACAGTCTTTTGTTATAGTACAATTCCTTACTTTTTGAGACTGAGTCAACTTCTCTTTTCAGTACTATTCTGATCAGCTATAATGATGCCTATATATTCTATTATAGATATGTTGCTATTTTAAAAAAATCTCCTTACTGGATTAGACTAGCATGGATAGTATCTTTAAATAAGGCTAATGATATAATAGCTAAGAAGATATATGTTGAGGGTAACATGAAAGTAAATCAACTTTAGAACTGTAGTTGTGACAGTTTTTCAGTAAAGGACCAGGCACTATAACTAAATGATTCCTGCCACTGCAGCTCAAAAGTATTATAGACATTACATCGAGGAATGGGTTTGTCTCTTTAAGTAAAAATTGATTTATGAAAACAGGCTGTGGGACAGACTTGAACTGCCGGCCACAGTTGATAACTTTACTATCTAAAAAAAAATATATATAAAATGATCAGTTTTCTCAGTTAACAAAATGGGAGAAAGGGGAAGAACTGGAATGTGTAGGTCTAGTGTAGCGTTTAATAACTGTTAACTGAATAAATACATAACTGTGGAGAGAACATGGCTAGAGGGGGGAAAAAAACATGATCAGAGTTCAAGGTTTTGTAGGCTCAATGATGCTCAGTTCTGACAAGATCCAATGAGTCAATACAATAAAAGCCAAAAATAAAGTGATTAGCTATCAGCTGTATCATCAATGTAGCTATTAAGATTTTAAAGAAAAACCAACATGAAAAAGTTGATATAAAAGGCGGAATGTGCTGTTTTGGAAGACAGTCAGATGGGATGGAGGAGAATACTGCATTGGACCAGTAGAAAAACAGTGGTCTCTGGGTAAGGGAGCACTGGTCACAGGAACAGAAGTGGGGTCTGTTGAAGAGCATGAAGAGACTGTGGCAGGAGAAAATATGAACAGTGAAATATTGAAGATTAAAGAAGAAAGCCTGAAAGCACAAGATCACCAAAGGATTTGCTGTTCTACCTTTGCCAATGTGTGTATTTTTATATATGAGATGAAGGGAGGGCAGGCACTGCCCTGTTCTGTCAGCCAGATACCCTTCTGATACCATGTAGCTCGGCTAGCAGTGAGCCAGGCACACCATGGCATACGGCGGGTGCCATCTAGAGGCTGAATTTGTGAAGCTCTAGTGTGGCAGAACCATCTGCAGTTTTAAAGATATACCAGTACAAAATCACCTTGGTGTAGTGTAGTGTGGTAAGCCTGAAATCCCAGCAATTTTGGTGGTTGAAGCAGGAAGATTGAGAATTTGAAGCCGCCCTGGGCTGTGAAGCAAAAACCTGTCTCAAAACAAAACAATAAAGAAGTCATAAAGACCCAAAAAGGGCTAAAATAAGGTACAAAGAATCTACTGTATCTGGCAATGAGGTTGTTAATAAATCCCTGTAGAACAACTTAAGGAGACCGAGGAGCCAAGACAAAATTCAGAGATATCAAAAGATAAAAATGTACAAAATATACATGAACTTATAAAACCTTGGTGGGAAAAGACACATTAAATCACAGGGAACAGCAAGAGGAAACCACTGGTTCACTTAAATTTCTTTTTCCCAAAAATGGGCAGACCATGATATAAGCCTATCATAAGAACGGAGGTTATGAAGGGCAATGTGCTGGAGATGCACCTCACTGGCAGAACTGCTTAGCATAAACAAGGCCCTAGGCTTGACCCCCAGAAACATCCTCCCAATTTCTTTAAGTAGCAAGGAACCAAGAACTGAGACTAGTGCTCGGTTTCTGCTGAAAAGATGGAAGCTGTTTTCAGGGCGTGTAGACGAGGGGCACGGGAGCTAAGAATTCATGTTACTGAACTCTATTTTGTCTGTGAAATAGAAAGTGAAGCCCTTGGAGTGATGGGAAATTTTAAGTTTTGAAATTGCAACTAAAATTAATAGGAAAAGAAGCTTATCACATACAAAAAAGTTGTTGAGATACAAACCCAATGTAAATTAGGAGACACATGCACACTATGGTGGGTATGATGGTGAATGCCTTTAATCCCTTAGGAATTCCCATTACATAGGAAGCAGAGGTGGGTGGAGCTCCGTGACCTCCAGGCCAGCCTTGTCTATAAAGTGAGTTCCAGATCATCGAGGGCTACACAGTGAGATCCTGTCTCAAAACAAACATGCCCTCCTCACTAGATACTTATAGGACACTGATTCTTTAGTTAGAGAAATTTTTCTGCGGTGGTTGGGTATTAGGTAGAAGGGGCAAAAGGGACAGATATAATATATATAAGATTTGAAATTTGCAGAATAAATATAGTATAATATCAAAGTGGCCAGACAACAACATGCTGCTAATTAGAAGAGACCTTCCCAAGTCAGAAAGGGGCTGAAACCACAGGGAAGACACAAACATACCCAGGAAGGACATCAAGAATGAATAGGTGTGGGTGGAAAGGTGAAGGAGAGATGGCAAGGAAAGCTCCAGTTAAGCTCCACCAGGGCAGGAAGCAAGCCCGTTTCACCTCTTTATTTACTTATCGTCAGCAACTGTTATTGAAATAAGAAGTCATAATTGCTATAACAATTATGACCAGGATCAATGCTGTGATGGAAAGTAGGGTGCCTGGACTCTACGTGACTGAGATCACCGGGGTTCACTTACTGACTGGGTTAAGCAAAGACTAAAAGACTACCCTCCCCACCAACTCCGCCAAGAAAAACCAGTTAACAGATGATGATAGTCGGGAACAGAATGGGTGGCGCAAGACTGGTGACACAGGGAACATGATTGGGAGGCCGAAAACGCTTTGGGAGCGGCACTGAAGAGCCGGGAGAACAATTAACTTGGTCTTTCAGCCTTGAGACAAAGCAACAGGAAGGACCGATGAGCAGCCCCCACTCGAGGCCTGCCAGAAGTGGTGTCCTTGGGGCTGTGCCAGGTTTCAGTGTAGGCCAGGAGGAGTAAGGAACACTGTGTGAAGAAATCCAGGCTCCAGAAGGCAGTGAAAAGGGGTGGGAGGAAAGCAGTGGGAAGATGGACCAGGAAGAAAAGCACACAGCAGTACGGGAGTGAGATTAGGAAGCTAGGAATAAGAGAGTCATGGAAATCATTAAGGGCTGAGAAAGCTGAATTCAGAATTTTGGAACGAAACACTATTGACATTAGTAATATTGGTTGAAGCGTTCTGACCACGAGTGTTAGCAACTTGTTGGATGTGTCAGAGAAACAACACAGTCTTACCGAGCGAGAGCAGGTTTCCATAACTGTCCATCACGACATCTTTATACAGGCTCCTCCGCGATGGATCCAGATAATCCCACTCCTCCTGGGTGAAGAAACATAGCCATATCCTCAAATGTCAGCAACTGCTGAAACAGTATGATTTTGGTAGTCAGTTCCGGTTGTCTCAAGGCCAATTCTACCAATGCAAGTGGCAGAAGCTATCATGGTCCCCATTCACTAGGAGGAACAAAGCAAGCAAGAGCATCCAAAGGTGACAATTCTTGGAACTGACTGGAACAGTCAGGCACCTCAGACTGGAAAGGAACTGATCTGAACCCGTGCCTTCCAAACTGAAGACCGTTCCGGGTTTAGATATTACACAGTAATGGCACTCTATTTTAATTTTAGTTAACAGCCTCGAGACCTCTCCAAACTTCTCGCACCTCACAGTCCCTCTCTAGTGGTCTACCCACAACAGCTTGTGACCCAATTCAACTCAATTCCATCAGGTCCCTAAGCATCCACCTTGAGTTCAGACATCATGCCAGCTGCAGAAGACAGAGGAGAGCAAAAAGAGTGCCTCGCCTCGCCTGGGAAATTCACAAATGAGAACTAACTTGGGGCAGTCTTAATTTTCTCCAGCCGATTTATCAAATTGCTCTTGGAAGAAAAATAAAAATGAGCCCGCGGACAGTTTGCAAGTGAACTAACTGTACCCTGAAGGAAGGGGTACACGGGCGGTTGGCTGGGGTCCTCCCTTAGAGCTGGCTGCCAGCAGATGGGGACTGGGGACGAGGTGATGCGCGCCCTGGTCATCTTCGGGAGCGGAGAAATAACGGAGAGCTCTGGAAGGGGCAGCTCACCTTTGGCTCCAGCAGTGGGCTCGGGGTCGCCATCTCCTCATTCCAGAATAGCAGCCACACAGCAATGGGGCTCCGGTGAGGCCTAGCCGACCGCTGGAAATTAGGCCCCGCCAAGACAAGGCTCACTCGATGTGTCCGGTGAGGTCCTGCATCGGTCTCGGAGCGGTCACGTTCCCAGGGGCATATCAGACATTGTGCCTGGCTGCCCCCCAACTCCGAGTCATGTCTCCTGCCCGGCTGTGCAGTCTTTCAGGCCTCGCTGTAGTCTCCTTGTTGCCAATTTCTCCACCTCACAGTCTACAGTGCTACAACAGACCACCCCCCCGAACCAGAAGGCGTTACCCAGACCGTCACGGAACCTCTCCAACTACAACTCCCAATATGCACTGAGAGCGCGCCACCGCCTTCTTTCGCAAATGGCAACTGGACTACATTTCCCGGTGTGCATCGGAATAGGCAACCACGGGGACGGCTGCAGTAAATTCGCATCTGATTGGCTGAGTCGCGCGTGTCGACTCCTGTCGAAGATGGCGGCGCTGTGTGTGTGCCGATTTGCTAGAAGAGGCTGGCTGTGGAAGGGTGCCTTGGCTGCACGCAGGGACTTTTGGTCTCGATCCAGGTAAAGCTGAAGGTTTCTCAATGGGTTCCGTCCCACGAAAGTCGCCAGAAGTTGAGGGACGAGTTCAGAGGCTAAGGACGCTGGTCCTTAGCCTGCAGAAGTCAGCGCGGAGGAGGGGTCCGAGCGCCAAGCTTCGGCCTGCGTTTCCGCGGGTGGCAGAGCCTCTCCTAATGGCAGCACTTTCCCCACGCTCCTTGGTTTCCTTAGTAAGCAGCATCAACCACGTGTCAAAGGCACACTGGGTGGTGTCCACAAGCGAACTATTCATCCGGACGGACCAACCTAACGTGAACCTAGGTGATCAGTAAGCCACGCTCCTTTGCGGGGCGTCTGTCTTGAGCAAAATCAGAAATAAAGGCTCCTACTCAACGTTGTGTGTCTCTCCCCCACCACTGTGTTCGCTAGAGATCCCTCCCCATGCCCCTCCCCCCCGTATTTCATTGATGCATACAACAAATTGTTGGTAAACGCCTTCCATTTCTCTTAAATGTGTACAGTGCTCCAAGTCTCTTTTTCACGCCGCAGGACTGTGACTCGCTAGGGACCTGAGGCCCACTGAAGAGAAGCACGCGCACGGTGGCTGTAGAATCCCTGTGTCTTAACTGCTTACCTGTAGTTTCCCCCACTGCATCATGTGAGGTCCATCTCTCTGACCTAGATAATATTTAGGGAATGGAAACTTAACCGCTGGGACCTCAGGGACCAACAAATGTCTTAGGTTCGGATTTTGAGTCATCACCTCGTGTCTTTAATAGCTTTCCTTTGGTTAGTGTCAAATGTCCCCAGTTCGTGTTTTAGTGTCTGCTGTATGGTAGATATTAAAAGTACAGTTTTAGATCAAATCTTTGATCTCGTAAGAGGGGAGCCGTTGATGTTTTTTTCAGTTTCCAGTTACCAGTTCTGTAAGGTGTAAATAGATGTATTGATGTATATACACATAGAGAAGAGATTTCTGCAGTCAAGCTAGTTCCATCGCTCTATATTTTTTTTTTCTTATTAAGTGAAAACACTAAGAACACTGCCATTTCTTTATGATCAATCACCATAGCTCTGGGATAGAATTTTAAATCGTAAGGTATGTTTTCTTCCAGGTTGTTTGTACTCAAGATTGCTACAGCTATTCATGATTTAAGATTGCTCAACATGTCTTTGAAAAATGTCATTCGATTCTTTTTTTTTAGATATTGAGTTAAATATGTTAAGTAGTGCAGACATATTAACAATATTGATAAGATAGTATAAAAAACCGATTCTTCAGTCCACGAACATGGGATGTCTTTTCATTTATGTGTGTTTTCTGTTTCATCAGTGTTTTACAGTCCAGTGTACAGGTGATCTTTAACCAACTTAGTTATTTTATTTCCTAAATATTTTCTCTTTTTCCTGCTATTATAAATGAACTTGATTTCTTGATTTTTCTTTTGGAATAATTTATTATTTCTCTAAAGAAACTACTGATTTTATTTTATTTATGTACATATGTGTATGTCTGAATCATACTCTTTGAGGCCAGGAGGGGGCATCAGATCCCCTGGGGTTGGAGCTGTGAGCTGTGAGCTGGTGTGGATGCTGGGAACTGAGCTCTGGAAGAGCAGCAGCAGCAGCAAGTTCTCCTAGCGCTGAGCCATCTCTCCAGCCCCAAAGTACTAATTTTTTTTTAAATGTTAATTTTGTATCCTGCAACTTTACTGGGTTGGTGTATTAGTTCTAGCAATTTCTTGTATGTGTTGTACAGGCTGAGGTTTTCTACGGGGAGACTCTTGTCATCTACAGGGACAAATTTATTTCCTTGTAACTTGGTTGCCTTTTATTCCTTTTTCTTTTCTCAAGGCTCTTATGACTTTTAGTATGATGTTATAGTGTTTGCAGAGGTTGAGGCAGGAGAATGATGAGTTCAAGGCCAGTGTATGTAGGAAGGACCCCTCCTCTCCCCCCCCAAAAGTTCTGAGACTGAGTATCCTTGCTTGTACCTCAGAAAACTGTTTTGTTAACAGTTTTCCCCCTGTCCATTATGATTTTATCTGTGGGCTTCTAAATTATCTGATTGTGGTAGACTCTACCTATTTTGTTTAGAGCTTTGATCATGGATGAGGATTAGGCTTTATATCATACATTTTTTCTGCTTCTTTGGAGGTGATTATTTGATTTTGTTACTGTGGCATATCATTATTGATTTGTGTATATTGAACAGACTTCGCAGTACAAGCAAGTGTCCTATTTAGTCATAATGTAGTCTTTTAGGTATTACTGAATTTGGTTTGCTTCTATTTTATTGAAGATTATTGCATCTCTGTTCATCAGAGAGATTGACTTGTAGTTTTCTTGTGCTGTCTTTGTCTGACTTTATAAAATGAATTTGAAAGTATTTCTTCTTCCCATTTTAGGGAGAGCTAATGTGAGACGGCTGACATTAGTTCTTTTTTGAATGTGCGGTACAGTTACCACATGAAGATACTGGCTTCCAATCTTTATTGGGATTTTTTGCTGTTTTGTTTTTCTTCAGTCCCTTATTTGCTGTTGACTGGCTTTGGCTTTGTACTCTTTCTTGGTTAGGGCTACATGTCCCTAGGATCGTAACTGGTTTTTTTTAGGTCTGCAGCTTACATATAACTTTTGTGACTTTTTATTTATGAAACATCTCTTGTATCCCCTTTTAGTTCTGATTTTAATTGCATGTTTTCTATATCAGCCCTTAGTTTTGTTGGTTTCTATGAATTTGTATCTGCTCTGATCTTTGTTTCCTTTCTTTTACTAACTTTGGGGTTACATTTTCCTTTTTTAAAGTTTCGTATGGTTCAATTTTAAGTTGCTTAAAATTTAATGATGTAGTCATTTATTAGTATAAATCCACCTCAGTACAGGTTTTCTTCGGTGTTTGTTACTGTCTTAGTTGTGGTTCTGTTGTGACAATATACCATGACCAAATGCAACTGGAAGAGAAAGGGACTTATTCATCTTACAGCTTAGGGTCAGACATCATCCAGGAAAGTCAGGCCAACACCTCAAGGCAGGAACTGATCTGGAGTCTATAGAACAGTGCTGCTTTTTGGCCTGCTCCTGCATAGCTTGCTCAACCCACTTTCTTATAGCACCCAGGGCCACCAAACAAAGTGTGGCACCACCCATGGTGACTTGGGCCCTCAAAACACATCAGTTGCCAATCAAGAAAATGCTCCAGATACAGACTTGACTTTGGGCCAGTCCGGTGAGGGCATTTTTTTCAAGTGAGATTTCTTTTTCCCAAATGACTTTAGCTTGTGTCGAGTTGACAGACACAAGCTGTCTGTAACATAACAGACATACAGTTATGCTGTATGTTTTCACTTATCTCAAGATGTCTCTGTGTGTGCTTGTGTACATGCATGCGTGTTGAGGAGGACACAGGACAAAGGTGGGTGTCATCAGCCATTCTCCACCTTGTAGTTTGAGATAGTCTCTTACTGAACCTGGAGTCCAGTGGCCTGCCTAGACCGACTAGCCAGCCATCCCAAGACCTCCTGTCTCCAGCTCCCCAGTGTTCTCATTACAGGCATGAACACCTGCTAGTTCTCTCTCCAGGATGATCAATATTGAACTCTAGTCCTCTTGTTTGCTTGCTGTCTGGGAGTGGTGATTTGAAAGAAAATGGCATCCACTGGGAGTGACACTCTTAGGAGGAGTCGCCTTGGTGGAGTAGGTGTGGTTTTGTGGGAGGAACTGTTTTACTGTGGGGGTGGGCTTTCACAAACCAAAGCATGTATCTGGTATGTCAACCGGATTCTCTTCTAAACAGTTGTTAAGTTTGTTTTTAAAGAACCCCAAATTAACAAAACAGGCCATTATATTAAAGAACTTACAATCTGGTATGGTAGTTCTCAAGAGACAGTGTTGGCAGGGCTCATGGTTGCTGTGACTCAGGACAAGAGTGAATTGATGCCAGGATGCTACCGAATATCTTCCAGTGAACAGAGTGGCTCCTCACACACAGCAAGGGACTCGCCAATAAAGCAATGCTAAGATATTTAGGACTGAGAAGTTCTGATCTAGTGAGGTAGTGTATAATCAAAACTGAAACACAGGATGGGATACACTGGGCAGTGTAGACCGCTGTGAAGATCAAGGGAACTTAACATTTGATTTGAGTATCAGGTTAAAGTTCTTAGGACTTACAGGGTAAGCATAATTTCCATAAGTAAAGATAAATCAAAAGGATATATAACCTGAGCTCACAAGTGACAGGAAAGTGGAAGTGTGTTTGGAAAACAGAATATAGTTTAGCTTGTACAGGTCTATAATGTATAAAAGAAGCTGGTGGAAGGTAAATTTAGCGAGGTGTATTGAGGATAGCTCTTGGAGGATATGTCGACTAGTTTTATGTCAGATTGATACAAGTTTTAGAGTCATTTGAAAGAAGGAGCCTTGGCCTGTGGTGCATTTTCTTGATGGAAAATTGTGGGAGGATCCATCTCACATTGGGTGGTGCCACCCGTGGGCAGGTACTGGGCGAACCATGGAAGCAATGTAGTAAGCAGCAGCCCTTCAGGGCCTCTGCATCAGTTCCTGCCTCCAGGTTCCTACTTTGAGTTCCTGCTCTGACACCCCTCAGTGATGGACTGTGTTATGGAACTGTAAGATAAAATAAACACTTCCCTCTGCAAGTTGCTTTTTGTCATGGTGTTTTACAACAATAGAAACCAAACTGAGACAGAGGATTAAGGCTCCTAGATAGAACAGATTGCTTTATCTTTGTTCTTTGCTTATTTTTAGAATTCTTACAAGTATGTAAAATATATGCTAAACTTTCGTTTTCTTTTTCAAAAATTGATTCAACTGTATGTGTCTGAAGGGTAGGTGACCATTCTACCTTTTCTGCTCTCCGCTGTGCTCAGAACGTCCCAAGTACAGAATATTTGATTTTGATTTCAAGGCAAGATTCAGTCCGGTGTTTATTAGCTTCATTAAGATAATCAGCCAAAGATTCATATGTTTGCTTTTGATCATTCCAGAAAGGAAAAGGAGCCAGTGGTGGCTGAGGCAGTGGAAGAAGTGAAGACAGAACCTGTTTTGGTGTGTCCACCCTTACGAAGCCGAGTGTATACACCTCCTGACGATCTCCAGAGTCGCTTGGAATCCTGTCTTAAAGAAGTTCTTGGTTCATCTCTTCCTAGTAATTGGCAAGACATCTCCCTGGATGATGGTCATGTGAAGTTCAGACTCTTATCACATTTAGCTGATGACTTGGGCCATGCAGTGCCTAACTCCAGGCTTCACCAGATGTGCAGGGTCGGAGACGTTCTTGACTTCTATAATGTTCCATCAGTTCAAGACAGATCTAAATTTGATGAACTCGTTGCCGGTAATTTGCCTCCCAATTTGAAAATCAGTTGGGGTTACTGAGCAGGTCAGCAGTTGACTGCATTGAGATGTTGTACTCTTCTCACTGAGGTGGCCGACAAACCTTGTGAAGTGTTACCCTTCAGAACTCTTCTCAAACCTCCCTTCCTTTACTGTTTTGTTTTTTCCTGTAGAAGAATACATCTTTTTTTCTCATGAATCAACAAAGAAAACGTTTTCACATTTGCTAAAGCTATCTCCCAACCCCCAATAAAATCAAGTTTTGATAATTTATGTAATGTTTTTATTCTGATGTTTATAGTCAGCGCTTTTGAGAGGAACAGAAGTGATAGCATGAATACATATTTAAAAGGGATTTATCAGATTAGCTTGCATTACGATCTAGTTCATCAATGACTGTTCCATACTGGAGAGGCTGAGAACCCAGGGTTGCTCAATCCACAAGGCTGACTGTCTCCACCAGCCTGGTGCTGAGGGCCTGGAGGATTCTTTGGAGAACTGCTCACCTCCGAACCATGCTGGCAGCCTGAAGAAGCTGGTCTCATATGAGGGAAGCAATGCAGCGATGGCAGGAACAGGATAGGTGTACTTGCTAATAGGCAGAAAGCCAAACCTTCCTTCTGCATGGGTTCTGCCCACATGTTTGGTACACTTCCTTCTTGAGATATTTGTTCATGAAAATCCCTCAGTAGAGTGACCAGCTGCTTGTCTCTTAGTTGACTCCAGATCAGTCAAGTTGACAACCAGGATTACCTGTCACACGAAAATACTAATGAACTTGGATTTAAGATAGAAAGGTATCTCAAGTTCAGATGTTTCTTTGTCCTTTATAGGAATAAAGTAGTAGTTGAGATAAAATATTCTAGTCTTATTAAAGCTCATAGGTGTGGAATTGTTATGGGTATGTATGCAAATGAGGAAATTATTAGATATTTAAAAGAACTGAATGTCTGCTGCACATAGGACATTACAGTTTCACTGTGTTGTAGTCCATGATTAATCTCTTGGATTAAAGCAGATTTGTTAAAATCTGTTGTCTTCTTGAAATTCACTTCATTATATATATTATTTTCTTAAAATGAGTGGTAGAACTGAAAAAAATAGACCATTTCACAACTATCAAGTTTTAAAGAGTTATTACCAGAGTCTATACTGCATATTCTCAAAATGAAGCATATCTCAAACCATCTTTCTATAACTTGAAAGGTGGCCTTAGGGTACCTATGATTAGTTACTAGATTGGCACATCTTTGTATTTTGATGTACTTAGTTTGTAGAGATTATTTAAATAGATTGCCAGATAGCTCTGAATGACAAAATTAGTAATCGTATAAACTATTGTTATAGGAAGATCTTAAGCATAGTAAATTGTGTTTATTCTCTTTCCATTGTTAACTTTGTTGAAGAATAAAATAATAATCATCATCAGTTGAGCATATGAATTCCAGCAGATTCATTCAGAAAAAAATAGTTGAGGTGGAGATGATGGCTTGGTGGGTAAGAACGCTTGACCTATAAGCCTGAAGACCTAGGTTTAAATCCCAGTACCCACGTAAAAAGCTGAACATGGTTACATGTACCTGTACTTCCCTATTAGAGAGTGGAGACAGGTGAATGAATTCCTAGAGCTGGGTGACCCACTAATCAAAAAAGTGAGGTTTCCATTCAGTAAGATGCCTTACCTCAAGGCAATTAGGTGGAGAGCAGTAGAGAAAGGCAGGTCCTGCTCTGGCCTGCTCTGTGCACACGGGTGCATACCCTGACACAGGACAGTGTCTAAAGAAGTCACAGCTTTTAATAATTACTAGATACACAGCAATGAATTACTTTCAAAGTATCGGTGACTGGAGCCCTGAAGTTTAAATGTAACAGCTCCTGTTTTCTGAGAACGAGATTCAGCATGGAAACGTTTGGGTTTGACATACAGAATTTGATTATCATGTTTCCCATACAATAATACTGGAAGTAAAGAGGTGTGAAGTCAGTATGGAAACACTCATGGCTACAACTGGACAAGTGGCTGTGACATACACTTTTCATGTTACTGTTAAGATAGAAGCTGCTCCTCCCCACCCCAGAGCAGTGCTGGTCAAAGTACATATGTGAATGAGTTACCTGGGGATCATGTTGCTGTCTAGAGTGATTGTAAGCATCCTCTTCTCTACAGTGCTCAGAAGTAGCATGGTCTCAGGATCATGAAATGACATTAAGCTGGCAGTGAAGCACCTTTCTGTAGAACAGTTCTGCATATCTGTCATAGCTCTGGAGGGTGTCATTGGTTTACATGTAGCTCATTCCAGGGTTTCAGAATAGTGGACCTTACGGTTCCGGAGGGAACAGGTTGGTTTGTTTACTGAGTTAGCCAGACATACGTGAAAGCTTTCTGTTTTAAAAAATGTAGGATATGCAAAGGGTATAAAGGTAACCAGTTTTACTTAGTTGAATATATGGGCTCAGTGTGTTTGCATAAAACCTAATAAAATCATTAGCAATTCAATATAAGTGGTCTTATATAAACTACATGTTTAGAGTTTGAAGTAACATGTGACTCCCTCTCTTGCTGAGTTTTGTTTTAACATGGAAACTATGATTTCTGCAGTAACCATACTTTAGAAAATAGAAAATACATCAAAAATGAGAAAACTCACACCAGTATACAGATAATGTAATATTCTAATATACTACCAATAGAAAAATTGTATTTTCTGTATTTTTGTGTTCTATGTGTATGTGTTCATGTATCTGGGTATACTTGCACATATGTATAGGAATCCAAACTCCAGTCTTCCTGATTGCACAGCAAACACGCAACCAGTCTCTCTCCATCCCATAATTGACTTTTACTACTTTGGTTTTGTAGTATTGAACTCAGGTCTGGAAAGAAATGTTTTACGAGATCAGAGTTCTGCAGTAGCATTGACATTTTGTTTTTAAAGTAGTGGTCCGATAAGATCAAATAGTGGCAGAGGAGTTTTGAACAAACAAGAGGTCAGGAAGATGGTTCAGCAGGTAGCAGCACTTGTCACCAAGCCTGAGAACCTTAGGTCATTGTCCTCTGAACTTTTGCAAACTCTGGTGCATGTGCAGGTGTCATGTACAACCATATATGTATGCACATGAATATATTGTGTATAATATGTTTTACATGAAACATACACATCTAAAAACTAAAATAAAAAATAAAAAAAAAACCTCCCAAAACAAATCAGAAAGGTCGGAGGGGAAGGGGGCTAGGTTCCCTACAACTCCATTAATAGGTAACCAGATCAGGAATGGGAGCAGTGGTTAAGCTGATGCCCTTTGCTCTGTGACCCAATGTAGACTGTAATGTCAAAAACATTTGGGGCTCTGGTCTTGGGCAACTGGGATTGTGCCCTTTTCCTTTACTCCTAGAAGTGGGAAAAGGAACATTGGTTGGTTTGTAATCAAAGCTGTTTTGAGTTGTTTGGAAATACGTTAAAAATCTCAACTAAATTGAAAATAAAATTTTTTTCCCTCCGGTGTTTGGCATTTAGTAGTTTCCAAGATCAAATCCTCCTTTTGCTCCTTCCATATTCTTGGAGCACTCTGAGGTTCCTAGAGATGCTGGTAGTGCAGTGCTTTTTCAGGTTTGCTTAGAAAGGATGTCATCTGAGACCTGTGATCTCTGGATGTTTGTGAGGGATATGAAAACCTATCAACAGTCACTTCACTCCCCTTTATGCTATCTGAATCTCCATGAGTAATTCTCCCTCCTTTTAACACTTTTCTAGAATTTTTTTCTAGAAAAAAATTCTTAGTCTGGAACACTAAACTATGCTGTTTATGTTTTATTTAATCTCTGTGAGTTCTGGACCATCCTGGTTTACAAAATGAGTTCCAGGACAGCCAGGGCTACACAGAGAAAACCTGTCTGGAGAAACCGAGGGGGAAGGTGGGGAGGAGGGATTTTCTTTTAAGGTTAGGATGATAATGTGTTAGAATTAAACTGGAAATACTTAAAGTGGAAACCTCATGTATGCAACTTGAGAATGCTTCCTGGTAGTGGATTATAGTCAACCATCATTAGAATAAGAATAAATATTCTAAAAAAAAAAAACAAGTAAAAACTGAATTAAAATGAACCAGTTTCTCCTGTTTGGATATAATGGCTGACAAGAGAAATCTAAGAGAAGGAGAATGAATGGTGCTAATGCAGAGAAGTAATTCTACATTAGGACTGTACCTAATATTCCAGCGACTCACTGCGAAATTTCTTATTGATCAGTTTGGCAGGGTTGGAGGTATGGATTCTCTTCCTGACAACATTCTTCAGTCCTGTATGATCTTAAGTATTTAAATTCTGGGACACTATAAAGAGACGTTTATTCACACCTCTCTGCCCCACTGCTATGCATGTGTAAAGGAATCACCCTTAGTCAGCCATTCATTGTAAAGAGACATTTATCTCCCGCCAACCAGTTAGTTCCCTGATAGTCACTATTATTAACTAGCTCTAAAATTAGCCCACATTCCATATTTATACTCTGCCACATGGCAGTACCTTTATTAGCATGGCACGTTCATCTGCTCCCTCTGCTCCCTCTCCATCTGGCTCACATCTCTCTGACTCTGCCCTTCTTCCTCCTAGAATTCTGTGTCAGGCGATAATATATCTTGTTCAATCTCTTCCTGACCAGCTATCAACCGATCAACTTTTTATTAACAATGAAAGCAATGCATATTTATAGTGTACAAAGATCGTTCCACAGCAGTTCATTGCTTAACCCCTCAAAATAAATGAATAACTCTTGAGTTGTGTTGTTAAATAAAAATGAGCTTTTGGAGGATGCCCAGGTAAGGCACAAATCAAACTCCCCTCCAATATTAGGCAAAGTGCTCTAAAGTAACAGAATATATATATGGAATTTATTGGAATGACTTACAGGCTGCAGTCCAGCTAATTCAACAATGAATGGCTGTGAATGGAAAGTCTGTGAATCCAGACTTAGTCCACAAGGCTGTAACGTCTCAGCTGGTCCTCAATATGAGCTGGAATCCTGAAGAAGTGAGCTCTAATGCCAGTGAAGGAATGGATGTTTTATCAAGGTTAAGAGCTAGCAGGCAAAGATCAAAGGCTTCCTTCTATACATAGCCTTCTAGTAGAAGGCATGACCCAGATTAAAGGTGTGTCTTCCCACCTCAAAATTTGAATTATAGGTGTGTGTCTTCCTGCCTCAAGAACCCGATCAAAGGTATGTGACTTCCTATCTCAAAGGTCCAGAGTAGAAGTGGATTTAACCACTTCAAACCAAGCTAAAAAAAAAATATTTCACAAATGTACCATCTATTCCTGGATTAAAGTTTATTCCAGATGTAGTCAAGTTGACAACCAAGAATAGCCATCACACCTCCCTTCAAACACCCTATTTTTCTCATTTTTGTTTTTATTTTATGCATATGGGTGTTTGCCTGCATGTGTGCCTGTGCACCACTTGTGTGTCTGGTGCTGCAGATGCTGGAAAGGGCATCAGATTCTCTGGAACTGGAGCTACACAGATAGTTGGGAGTCATCACGTGAGTGCTTAGACTCTTTCCCTGGAAGAACAGCCGATGTTCCTGACCACGGACTTATCTCTTCAGCCCCATAATACAATTTTAAATATAATTGTGTTGAATTTTCCCATCTTGATCACTGTTTTCCATTCGTCTGATTGATCATTTTCTCCCTTGTTCCTCTGTTCCTGCTGTGGCAAATTTTATTCCCAAAGGATTGCAGAAGTGTTATGGAATATTACTTTAACTATGTAAAGGTGTGCTGCATTTGTTTGTGCTGCGTTTGTTTACCTCTGCAAAGATTGTTGCTATTTCACCTTTCTTGCCTGAGGCACCTGATTGGTCTAATTAAAAGCTGAACAGCCAATAGCTAGGCAGAGGAGGGCCAGGCAGGGCTGGCAGGCAGAGAGAATAAGTAGAAGGAGGAATCTAGGCTTGAGAGGAGAGAATGAGGGAGAAAGAGAGGGTGATGCCCAGGGCCAGCTAGCCAGGCACCTGCTAGCCAGACAGACAAGGGGGAAGCAGGAAAGTAGGACATATAGAATGAAAGAAAGGTAAAAAGCTCTGAGGCAAAACACAGGTGAAGAGAAACAGGCTAAAATGAATTACAAGAGCTAGTAGGAGAAGCCCAAACTAAGGCCGAGCATTTATAATTAATAATTCTCCATGTCATGGGGACCGACAGTCTAAGAAAGCTGGCTACACAAAAGTAATACACATATTCCATCCCTTCCTCCTTTCCCCTATTGATATTTATTTTACTCTCAAAAAAGTCTCTATTCTCTCCACTTGAATTTTCATGGAGGCCTATGCCTTCTCTGACAAATATGAAACGGCTGAGATTACAGTTTCTAGCTGCTTCTATGTCTTGTCTTTCCAGCTGTGATGGGAGGAAATCCAAACACGCTCCGGAAGCGGTGTCTCCAGCTCTGTATTGACCCCGGGACACATGTAAGAGTGAATCTCAGATGATTATATTCCCTTGCCTTCGAGACTTCCATTTGAAGTAACACACCATGCTACAGAGACAATTTTCTTTTGTTGTTTTTCTGAGACAGAATCTCCCTATGTAGATTTTAACTTCACTCCTGCCTCAGTCTCCCTAGTGCTGGGTGCCCAGAAGCTCACCACCACATCCCAGCAAAGGAGATGGTTTCACAGGACAGGCGCAGTGCAAGACAAGCTTGTCGGGGCCTCTCCACAGTAGCGGCCCTGCCGCTTTTATTTTTAGGCGTCTTTCTCTCGGGCATTTATCCAAAGTTCAAGTTCCAAGGTCTTCTTAGGCACCTCTCTCTTTTCAGCCAACTTAGGCCTGGTTGAGGAGTGAGCTATAAAGACGCATTCCCCGGCTCTGACTGGTTGGGCTGCGTTTGTTAAACTCCTACCTGTTGGATTGAGAGCCGACGGGAAGGCCTGTGCGTCGGTGCTGCCCCTGAACGCCTCTCCATTTCGGCTCATTGCTGCTCCACCACTGTAAGTGATTTACTGGCTGTACCCTTTTCTATGTCACTGTGATGTCTGGCAGCTCTCATATCCGTTATCTCCTAGCTCCCTGGGCTCTTGATAAGACCTGTAAGCTATCATTGTCTATCTGCAGGAAAGCCTATATTATTTGAAGCCCAGCGATATAAGAAACATACTTATCATATTTCTACCTATTTGCCATATTTCTTATATAAACTTCACAAAACAGTTACTATTTTGAACAGCTAATAGACTTTTAACTACTTTAAGATCTCTCTCTCTCTCTCTCTCTCTCTCTCACACACACACACACACACACACACACACAATTAAGTGATGAAATTTTGAAAAGGGCTTTTATATTTACCTAGATAATAAAGCATTCTTACTCTTCATTTCTCAGATGCATTAAGTTGTCTGCCTGGAATAACATCCCTTACATAGTGAATTTCTTGAAATATAATTTCCTACAGGAGCACTTTCTCCTTTTCGCTCTGGAAATGTCTGCCTTTTGCCTCCGTTTTTGATGTGTATATTTGTTAGGTTCAGGGGTTCAGACATTTTGCTTCATTTATTTATTTCTCTTTCCTTTTGGGCACCGAGGGTGCATTGCCTCCTGCTTGTTAGTTTCGGTTTGTCCTTTTCCTCTGTAACGTTGCCACTTTTCTCTGGCTATAGTAACCCTTGCTGTGTGTGTTACCAGTTTAACCATAATGGCAGCTGGGCTTTTGCTGGTTTTGTCCCTGCATTTTTTACATCTCTGGTGACTGCAGCATGGTGCTTTTCAACGAACGGAGGGAAATCCAGCCCTAGTTTTTGTGAGCATTCCCCCTGTGCATATCTCTAATATGTCTTTCTAAGGCGCCAATTATTAGATAATATATACTGTATATTAAGCCATATATATTAAAATATTTTCCATGTCTCAAATGCTCTAATCTTTCATCTTGATTTTTCTCTGCATAGTTTAGATTGAGCTGTTCTTACGTCTCTTGGCTGTCCTTTCCATTTGCTGTCTAATGAGTTCAACACCTGACTACTTCTCTTTCTATAATAGTGATTCTTTCCTTTTGTTATCATGAGTTTTTAAATTTTTACGTATAATAATAAAAATGGGTCCTGGATGCATTGTATAGAAAATAATATCTAAAAAGAGAGGACCAGTGATATTGCTCAGTGGGTAAAATCACTTGCTGCCAAGCCTCTCTCTCTCTCTCTCTCTCTCTCTCTCTCTCTCTCTCTCTCACACACACACACACACACACACACACACACACACACACACACACACAATTAATAAATGTAATAAATGAGCTTGGCCGTGTTCTGTTGGGATTTGGTGCTGATGACTCTGATCTGAGCCAAGTGTGTGTTGGCTCTAGGACCTGTGGCACAATTACTGAGTTAAATGCACACTAACTTCACCAATTTTTGGTGGTGGGTTGAAGCTTTTTCTCATCAGAAGAACCTGGATTCTCATTGTTCAAGAACTCCTTGTGAGGATCTTTGACTTTAACAGTCATATGGTAGCCTTCTAAAATGAAAACTTCTGATTTAGAGTTCTGGAAAAAGGGTCACCAGGGAATAGCTTGGCTCTGTGGTAATACCCCTGGCTTCCTCGGCATAGGGACCTTTCTTTGCTCCCCTGTAGACACGGATGCGTGGAGACATACTCTGAATGGGGAGTTTCTCAGAGTTTCATCTTAGCATTCATCGAAAGTACACCCCCTTTTCTCTTATTCCTCATTTCTCTCTGCGGGGTTCCTCTTTGTCGTTTTATCCTAAGTGAATAGCAGAGTAGGAGGGACATTTTCTCACCTCCTAGGAGTAGCTAATTTTGTTGCATGCCGGTTTTGATTCATTTAGATCGGTGCCATTCTCAGCAAAATGAGTTAAAATGAAAACAATAGAACAACCAAAGAAATAGATAAAAATCTGATGAGAGCTTTGGTTCTTGGAAGAGTGGTCACTCTTGTGTCAAGCAGATAAACATTTCAGCAAGACTTCTGGACACTTGAAGGTCTTATATGCTTCTAATTTTGTTTTAGGACTGTCTAAGTCCCCAAATCAAAGTGACAGCTGTATCTTTTTTTCTCTTAGACAGAACACACATGTTCCCATGGAAGAGACTTAGAATAGATTACTTACTCTGCACAGGGAGCTGCTCAGTCAGTCAGCGTGTTTTCGACCTTCCATCTCAATCCTGGCTTTCTCAGACTTGTGTACAATGAGATTGACACATCCTCCTTCATGTCCCGATATTCATGCAAAGCTAGAGTGCGGCTTGAACTTCTAGCACCTACCCACATGCTCTCTAGCTTCTAGAAATCTGTCGAAGCCTCTCTTCCAGAAAGCTGTTGATTACAACATTATCACGGTGCATTTGCCACAAATCAATGCTGGCTTAAAACTGAATTCTAAGAGATCTGCCTCTTGCTCCTTTTCGTCATCTACTGACATTATTGCCGCCGCGTTTCATGTCTGTCTCTTTCTGTTTTGAGGTTTTGGTGAAGATCTTCCTGAAGAATTGTTGGAGGTTACCACTGCCAACATGGCCAAGCTGATAGCCACTCCTCATAGCGCACTTGTTGATGAGCCTGTGCACATCCAAGTCACGGGCCTGGCACCCTTTCAGGTGGTGTGCCTCCAGGCATCCCTGAAAGACGAGAAGGGAAATCTGTTTGGTTCGAAGGCCTACTACAAGGCCAGTGAAACAGGTGAGGTGGACCTGGAGCGTGATCCCTCACTTGGAGGAGACTATACGGGTGTTCACCCCATGGGTCTGTTTTGGTCCATGAAACCCGAAAAGATGCTGAGTCGCTTGGCAAAAAGAGATGTGAATATCCCCTACCAGGTCCACATAGAACTTTCCAAGCCACACTTTCCAATAAAAGGTATAGTTGCCAGTCCGCCGATGGATAGCCTGACTTTGGAAAGATGGTACGTGGCACCTGGTGTCACAAGGATCCCGGTGAAGGAAGGCCGCCTCCGGGGAGCCCTCTTTCTGCCCCCAGGTGAGTAGAGTCACTCTGGCTGTTGTCTTTGTTTCCCTTTCGGGATGCCTCGTGCCTCTAGAAATTTAGCTTGGAGGAGGTTATTATACAGCTCTCGTTGTCCTACCCAAGAATCCGGGGATTTGGGCTCAGAATAGAAATGGGTGGTATTCCGCTCTAATTCAAGTTTCATCTCCACTGTTCTGAAGCTTGTCTGAGGTTATGACTGCATATTGTGGAGTCCTAGCTTTGGAGGGTTTCTGATTGGTTGAATGTAGGTTAAGTGTAGTTCATTAGAGCCGGGCTGACTGAAGATTCCCACACAGCAGGTTTGAGGAGCTATATCACGTTAACATTCCGTTTAAGTATAGTACTGATGCTTTACTATAACAAGCTTGTTTAGATAGCTTAAATAGTTTTATGCCCAGGAATAAAAGTATAGACCATCCCATAGCACTTAGGGCCAAGGAACTAGCGCTAAATTTTGTTTCTTTAGTATCACACTTCTGTTTAAAATGTACACACACACACACACACACACACACATACACACACACACACACATTTAGATCTAGACCTTCTGCCTCGGGCAGGTGTGCTGGCACCCAGCATGTCATTTGCTATCTTCTGGGATACTGGATAATATAGAGTCTCTTGCATTATGAGCGATGAGATATGCTTGATCCCAAAGAGGTTGAATTAGGTGTGGAAAGATTTCAGGTCCTTCACTGTTCCCTTCCTCCCCACTCATCAGAAGATGCAAACTGATCTTTATTAGTGGACTTACATAGTCATTTCTAAACCAAGATATATTGTGTCATCTCATCTCTCACACTAAAGGAAGCACAGCCATTTAAAAACTCACCAGTGCCCCTTCGTGTGATGCCAGCTTTTAAATCGACATGGCCAGGCTTCCTTTTCTGAAGTCAGGTTTCAAGGCAGGGACAGTTTATGATATCCACTGTGGGTGGGCTCTGGTTCACTGTAGAAGCACACTGTCAACACAGAGTGACCGTGGACTGATGTCCTAATATCCCTCTTCTTTCTCTGTATGCTAGGCTACACACAGTAGAAATTAATATGAAAAGAAAGAGTTCCTCATGTCCCTCTGATGTCATGGGAGGTTTTATCAACTCTTTCGTCAGTCTGGTTAGCAGATTGTAACAGAGAAGGGTGTTTAACCTTCTTTTGTTTCCTAGCGCCTGGGATGAGCCCTGAGACTTAGGCATGTTAGAGGCAAGTCCCCCAGGGACTCTTATAAAACATTTTAGCCAGTGCAACCATTAAAGACATCTTCGAGCTTTGTACTTCACTTACAAAGAGAGATTCTTTGTCTAACTAGACCTTGTGAGGGCTCACCCTCAAGGACATGAAGATCTCCAACTGGCTCCTCTTCCTTAATGATCTACCTCTCCCAGGTAGCCTTTGGAGATAACCTTCACCCACCTGGAGCATTTCTCCAGGGAAACACATATAGACAGCGTATTTCGCATCTAAGTTTAGCACCTTCATAGATTTCCTAAAGATTGTTTGTGAACCCTTGTTTAGTTAAGAAGTCCTGGCACATTCTTCCCCCTGATTTTCTTTACTCAAAGACAATGGGAATAACCCCTCCTCTAGGCTTCAGGAATTCAATATGTCAGTGCACGTAGTTTATAATAAAATACTTAGAAGTTATGTTTCATTATATATTATGAAGACCTTACTTTTGTCCCATATACAAGGCTGAACATTTGAATGTTCTATTTGAGAATTTGTGTATTAATCCCAAGATTCAGTTCTGCCTGTTGGCTTCATATTCATGTTGTCTTTCCCCCTTGTTTTCATATGTGACCTGTTTTATGTTGTTCTTTTCCAGGCGAAGGCCCGTTCCCGGGGATTGTTGACTTGTTTGGGAGCACTGGTGGACTGATCGAATTCCGGGCCAGTCTTCTGGCCAGTCACGGCTTTGCAGCCTTGGCTCTGGCTTACTGGGGCTATGATGACTTGCCCTCTCACCTGGAGAAGGTAGATCTAGAGTATTTTGAAGAAGGTGCAGAGTTTCTCCTGAGACATCCTAAGGTAATTTTAGGCTCATTGTGTGAATACATCCCAGTGTTACGTTAACTGCAATGCTGTGTGACCTGCCTTGACTTTGAAACGTGAGTCCACCGAGGCTGCCTTTTGTGCTACAAAGAACAGTTGTCTTTTACTCTTTCTGGTTTGTATGTTCCATTTGTAACTAGTGACTAGGATTCCTCTCCCACCCTCTGTGTGTCTAGAAATGTATATTTATATATACATAGATATATGTGCATGTACTAGAGAGAGAGATTTGTGTACAGGTTTCTGTTTGGGGGAGGGTGTGATTGCTCATGTGTGTGTGTTGGTGTGTGTGTGTGTGTGTGTGTGTGTGTGTGTGTGTGTGTATGTGTGTACATGTTTGTGGTGGATAAAGGTCAACCCTTAGGCATTGCTCTTCCGGAGCCATCCACCTTGGTTTGGAAACAGGGCCTCTCACAGAGGTTCGCAGATTCCCTATCAGGATAATCTGTCTGACCTAGGGTCCTCTTGTGTACATCTCCACAGGACTGAGATTACAAGCAAGCCAGCATGTCTGACGATTTTCCATAGGTTCTGGGGGCATAGCTAATGTCTGTCCTCATCCTTTCATGGCAAACCCTCTCCTGACTGAGCTATCTCCACAGTCCCAGAAATTGCATGTATTTATATCTATAAACAACAACTTGTAAATGTTTTCCAGAACCAAAGTCTGAGTCATCAATCCCCGGAGTTCTAGACCATGAGAAAAACAAACAAACAAACAAACAAACAAACAAAAACAAGCCAACAGCCCTATGTTGACATTTAGTCCACCACCAGCCACTTCTCTGGAACACGCAGAGTGCCTGATCAGCAGTTCTCTGGTCCTGTCCTCCATTGCACATGATAGCTGTGTTTTAGGCATTGGGTCAGCATCAGTGCCTTAAGATTGGAAGAACTGTGGAGAACACAGACTTTGATCTCTTGATTCTGTGTTATTTTTTCATGAGAAGAAAATAAATCCATAAGGAGACCATATGGGCCTTACAACAGAGACTAAGTAGACATGTAGCAAAGGACAATAAGCCCAGACTCATCAAAGTGCGTCCTCTGAGAGTGGATACATTGCTTTGCCATGCAAAATCAAGGTCATATTAGCCTTAAAATTGTGAAGAGATGTCTTTTATGGTTAGCTAGCACGCTTGAATCACTCAGCATATTACTCTTTATTGCCTCTGTTTTTAATCTGAAAATTCAATTTACAGCCCATTTCTTCTGAGACTCTTTGATCCTGCTGATCTGTCTGTATACATTGTTAGAGAATGTGTGATATTCTAATAATCTAGGTGTCCCCAAGGACCTCGTCTCCTGTCTTTTCATTGCCTTATAAAACATTACTCCTTTGCTGGGCGTGTTTGATGATTGACAATAAAAAGTGTGTTGAGACAGGCTTTTCTGAAATCTCCTTCTGAGATCAACGCTTTCCAGTCAAGCTCCATGTGCTGCCCTAACTTCCCTTCACTCTCCCCTCTTTCTGGAGGAAACTCAATTCCTATGTAAGGCACTTCACTCATTGCCTATTCCCTGACCAACGCTATTTACAATAACACATTCACTTTGCTTGTTTTCCTGACTACACCGGCCTTGTTATTCTTGTTTGTTTGTCCTGTGGCGACTACTGCATGCTAGGGAAGGGCTCCACCACAGACCTATATTTCTAGTACTGGCATAATATTTTTTGAAGATATTTTAAACTTAGAAGCAGGCATAATGTTGAATCCAATATATCTGTAATAAAGCTCAATTAAATAAACAAACTGTGTTCCAGAACTCCAGCTACTTGGCATGTACGCAGCTGTGTGGGTTCTTTAACTTTTTTTTTTTTAACTTGCCTATTACTATTCTTTGTTGCAGCTCTTGATTATTTCCTAATGAAAGAATTACATCTCATTTTTATTGTTTTTAGGTCTTGGGCCCAGGTGTTGGCGTCGTCTCTGTATGCAAAGGAGCGGAAATTGGACTCTCTATGGCTATTAACCTAAAACAAATAAAAGCCACTGTACTTATCAATGGGCCTAACTTTGTTACTACGGATCCACACGTATATCGCGGTCAGGTCAACCATCCCGTCCCATGCAATATAGAATTTACCCTCACCAATGCCTTCGGACTTGCAGAGTTTTATCGAACCTATGAGGAAACTGCAGATAAGGACAGCAAATACTGTTTTCCCATTGAAAAGGCGCAGGGACATTTCCTTTTTGTGGTGGGAGAAGATGATAAAAATCTCAACAGCAAGGTCCATGCTCATCAAGCCACAGCACAGCTGATGAAAAGTGGGAAGAAGAACTGGACCCTGCTGTCCTACCCTGGGGCAGGTCACCTGATCGAGCCTCCCTACTCCCCATTGTGCTCTGCCTCAAGGATCCCTTTTGTGATTCCAAGCATCTACTGGGGGGGAGAGGCTGTCCAACATGCGGCAGCACA